AATTTTAAATGCTTTTAAATTCAAATTATTGAAAATTCAATTAATTTTGAATTCAAATTTTTGAGAATAATTAAATTTTATTTGATTTTAAATTGAAAATTTTTGGGAAATAATTGAATTTTTATTAATTTTGGATTGAAATTTTTGAAAATAATTGAATTTTAGTTGATTTAGAATTGAAATTTGAATAGAAATTTTAGAAAATAATTGAATTTTGATATAATTGAATTTGTGATGTATTTCATTAAAATTATTAAAAATAATTAATTTAGTGAAGAATCATTTTAGTTCAAAATTTGTTAAATAATTGAATTGAAGAAGATCTGAAGAAGATATAAATTTTATACTAAAAAAAGGTATTTTATTAACATTTTTTTTCAAATGTAATAAAAAATGTCGCATTTTATTAAAATAAGTCGATAAAAGTCGTATTTTGAAAAAAGTCGGAAAAAGTTGTATAATCCGAGGCCTGTAAACATATAATTTTCATTATTATCATTTAATATGTAATAATATTCTAATAAATTAAATTATTATTGATAATATTAATCTTTAATTTCTTTATAACAAACAATTAAATACTAAATTTGGCGCGCTTGCGCGCGTTTAATTTCTACTAGTAAAAAAATAAAAATTAAAAAAAAAATGTAATGGAAATGTAAAAAAATTCCTTTTTTAATTTTTTAACTAGAAAAACATATTTTGTTGTAAAGTTAATTCTCAATGTACCATCGAAGATAATATCAAATTTAAGATAATTCAAAAAAAGTTGGACAATATTTGTACAAAAAATATTAAAAATGCCTGTAAAACTTAAAAAAAAAAAAAATTGCATCGGCCGGGAATCGAACCCGGGCCGCCCGCGTGGCAGGCGAGCATTCTACCACTGAACCACCGATGCTTATATGGTATTGGTCCGTTCGTTCTCAACAAATCTAGGGTAGCCCGCGTAACATATTATAAACTTCCTTACATATGAAAACCTTAACTAAATTTCCTTTGTATATTGTAGAGTTGTAATTTTTTTCTGTTTTTTTTATAAAGTATTTGGTGAGCATTGCCTTTGTATATTAATATGTTTGTATATTTTAGAGTTGTCATTTTTACTTTTTAGTAGAGATGATAAATTTTGGTTTAATTTTTTGGTGTACATTGCTTTTGTTTTGAGTTTTGTAAAAGTTAGCTCGGAATTTTTTTTTAACGGTTATTTGAATTTTTTGAGCATAAGAATATTATCTGATCTTTCATATTCCCAATTTTTGGAGTATAACTTGATTTTTTAGATATGGGGCATTTCACGGGAGATTTTCATTGAAAATTTTTTTTTTCCCCGAAACATTTTTTTCGATATCTATATGAAAAATAAGGATATACGTATTTTTTTATTTTTTTATTTGATAAAAATGAAGGAAGTTATGATTTTTTGAAATTTAACGTCAACGATGGAAGTGTGTTTTTGGGACATTTTTTAATCTATTGCACTAATAAATTAAAAATTATGCTATATCTGAAATTTGTTCATTTTTTCTTAAATTTTTCAAATATCTGCTCAAAAATAACGTACCTATAATAAATAAATAAGAAAAATAGAATATTGTAGCTTTCTTCTTACATAGATTTTGTCAAAATCGGAGACAACGTATTTTGAGATATTTAGAAATTTAACCTTCAAACTAAATTTTTATAGTAAATAGTTTTTTTTTACAAAAAATTGTTTACAACTAGAAATTTCACTTTCGAAACTACTCATTGCAAAAAATTAAGGGGTAAAGTCACAATGCGCGTAATAAACAAAATTGACGATTTTGAGAATTTTTTTTAGAGTATCAAAAGCTTTTAAATTAAAAAATTTATTAAAAATTTTATTTTTTACTTTTAAATTTTATTAAAAATTTTTTTAAAATAAAAATTCATTTAAATGAAAAATCTAGAATCTAAAAATACGGTTTCGAAATTTTGTTCAAAATTATAATTTTTTAAAAATCAAAATTGAGTTAAATAAAAATTATGTTAAATTTAAATTTTATTAAATAAAAATTTATTAAAACTGAAGAATCGTATTGATAAATATTTAGACAATATTCAATAAAAATATTGAGTTGAAAAATAAAAATTCTATACTGCACTAAAAGCGGCGGTAATATTGGCCTTTTGAAGTGAGAGAGTAGTTTATTGAAATTTCTTGAAACAATATATATATAGTTACTTTCATATCATAACTCGTAGTAGGTACAAGCATATAGCCATTAATGGGTTATATAATTTTATTTCTCAAACTATATCTAAAGATTATACCATAATAAATATGAACTATCAGACTATATATGATAAAACATATATATATATAGACAAACTCCTATATAATTATACAATGTTTTATTCAAATTTCTATAATTATATAATTGATTCAAAATTCATCGTTACATGTTGAATCTTTATTCAATCGAAATAATTGTTAATAGTAATTAACATTAATTCCTTATGATATCTAATTATTCGATATCGGCACATTTATTTTCATTTCAGTTTTCATTATACTAAATAACTAACTATTATTAACTATTATTAGAATTATTATTTTTATTATTATTATTATTATAATTTTAATTTATAGCTAGCGCCAGGCTAGTAACTAAAGATGCGAAGTGGTATCAGGTATTGAAAAATTTTTCTTTTTTTTTTATTAGCTTTTTTGAGGTTATGTCAAATACCTGACATAACTGAATTTCCAATTGTCTGAAGTTGCAAATAACCGAAAAACGCAATAAAAAAAAGATTTCGGCGCGAATTTTGAAATTAACCAATCACAATTTTCTTGATAATTTTTTATTGGTTAATTTCAAAATTCGCAACGAAATTTTTCTATTGATTGCGTTTTTCGGTCATTTCATAATTCGGTTATGTCAGATATTTGACATAACCTCAAAAAACCTAATTAAAATCAAGAAAAATTCGTATTTTTAAGTTTTACAATAACTATATACTTTATGTTTTTGTGGTCGCTGATGAAGTCGAATTTGAATTCGAATTTGAAGTCTATTAAACCCCATCACGTCAGGCTTTTGAAACAAACTGAAATAATCCCAAAATTTGACCCTAAAATTTCGTAATTAAAAATTCTACACTGAGAGAAACGATTTGTTGCGCAATTACTATTTCGTTAGTAAGAGTATTTTTGCTAATTTATATTAGTTATACTGTTACCATTTAGTTAGTGTACCTAACCATTTTGTTAGTAAGGTAACTAATTAAATAGTTATTCCAACAAACCAGTTGGTTAAACCAACTAATAAAATAGTTATGCCAACCAATAAAAATAGTAACCATAACTAATAAATTAGCAGCAGTATAGTTTACTAACTAAAAATGGTCATCTCAAAATGGTAACCCTAACTAATTTTTGCTCTCAGTGTAGTCTTACCATGTCTATTTTATGTTTTTGGGGTTTCACATAACCTAAAAACAATTCCAAAATTTGATTTTTTAAATGTTTTTTTAAAGTTATGTCAAAATCCTGACGTGACAGGGTTAAATAGACTTTATATTTGGCTTCAGCGACCCTAAAAACATAAAGTAGACAAAGTAAGACGTGATGGGGTTAACTGAACTCTCTCTAAATCTGAATTAGTAAAAATGATTACTAATTTAAATTAGTGACTTACTTTTTGCTTCTGATTTAGTAAAATTTTACTAATTATTAGTTATTTTACTAACAATTTTACTAACAATTAGTAAAATTTCACTAATTCTAAAGCAAAAAGTAAGTCACTAATTTAAATTAGTAAACATTTTTTCTAATTCAGATTTAGAGAGAACTTCAGATTCGGCTTCAGCGACACCAAAAACATAATATAGATCCGAATTTTTTTAATTTTAAAAGTTTGAGGACAAATTTTGAGGTTTTTTGAGGTTCTGTCAAATGCCTTACGTTATAGGGTTAAACTGACTTCAGATTCGGTTTCATCGACCCCAAAAATATAAAGTATTGTTTGACCTCGAGTTTAGAACATGAATTTTTTTCGTCCCAGTGTAATTATGTAATTTGAACTCGTTCACTATCAGTGAAAATTCCCACTAATTTTTAGGTTATTTTTCACTAAAACTTTAGTAAAAAGAAATCAAATATTAATATTTGACTAAAAATTAGTGGAAATAGTAATATTTAGTGAACGAATTTAAAATTAATAGTTAGCGCCAGGCTAGTAACTAAAGATACGGAGTGGTATCAGGTTTGAAAAATTTCCATAGAGGAAAAAAATTTTAAGGTGTAGATACTATTATATACAGTATATTAAAGTGTTAGAATATTAACTTAATACAGAGAATATACGCGCAAAGACTGGATAGAGAAATAAAATGTACACAAGGAATTTTGGCATGAAAAATAGTATAGGCTTTATTTTGACAACGGGTAAACGAGGACTGGCATCAAATTACCTGAGTACAGACCTTAGGACCTTCGTTCGGGGATGTACATGAAGTGGGGAGGTCATAAACGGACAACTTTTCTTGAATTTCACTATTTGTACATAGAAAATAAATATGTCGCAAATATAGTTGTTGTTCCAACATAAAGGAATTTAATATACAGAAGATAATGAGAATTAAGAAGAAAAATAGATATATCTGATGCTTATATATAAACAGAAAGCATGGGATATAAAGAGCAAAATCTGTTTTAGCATAAGCAAGCGGGTACCGTGATCATGGGTATAGAACTATATAGGTATATAGCAACTGTTAGAGCCTTCTCGGTACTTTTCGGTCATTGAACTATTATCGTTGGTGAACCCAGTTGGTCCACTCCCTCCTCACCGATTTCCAAGCTCTGTCTTTTGCAGCAGCAGCAGCAGCTTGTTCCGTCCGGTCCCACCATACTCTGCTAGTATAGTGACTCCTCACGTTCCTGGACAGCTCTTCCCCTCGACATCCAATGGCTTCTGCCAACTACTCCCCCCACTCCAAACAGGTAAACATATATACAACTATCCACTCGATTCTCTCTTCTTTCTAGTCTTCCCTCCTTCCAATATTTCTAACCTCCCCTTCCTCTCTTTCTCTCTCTTTCTTTCTCTCTCTCTCTCTCAAAAATCTCTCCTCACTCCTGTGTGCGGTGAAACATCGTTTTACTGTACATACTTCCCTGCCTGCGCGAGTGCAGTGCCGTAACACCACCAACTTATCTTCTCTTTTATTATTTACCTTCACCAGGTACGCGAAAACTGAACGCAAATGAGAAAAGACAACTTCCAGCAATATATTCAATTTGCAGCATTTTTTTAACACACTTTTTCATCAATTGTTAAAAAAAATGTGATATTTAAAAATTAGAAATTTCTTCTTTTTAAATTTTTTGGGAATTTTTTTTTATATAAATAAACGAACAGTGACTTAATATAAAAGTGTATAACAATTGTGTCATAATACACGTGCTTGACTTTTTTTTTAAAGAAAAAAAAATCGATTTGTGTTTTAAGCGATAAAAAAGGTGAAAGTGAACGATATTTAAATCCATGTGATTTTTTTTAAAAATATTTTATCAAAAAAAGAAGAGATATTTTTTAAAACTGAAAGTTTTTTTTTTAGAGAAAATAGAAATGGAAAATCAAAAGTTTAATATGAGGAAATATCAAGTAATTAGTGATATAAAAAGTGACATTTTTTGGAGTACACAGTTGATGACTTGATGATATTTAATAAAATACTATGGAAAATTGTCAAGAAAATATTTTGGAGAACAACAAATTATATGGTAATTATATAAAAGTAGAAGTATTTTTACTTCTTTAATTTTTTAATAAGAGTGATGATTTTTATGATTTGGACCCCTTAAAAAATTTTTTTTTTTAATCTCATTTTTTCGTTTTTTAAACGAATTAAAAATTTTTTTTTTAGGGGGTCACATAAAAATCACCATGTATATTGCCCATAGTATTTGAAAATAAAAAAAATCATATTAAAATAATTTTTATTTTAACCCTTAGTGAAAAATTCATTTTCTCTTTTGGATTACTTCCTCATTCTTTATATTCTAATATTCGCGACTGTTACATTCTTTGCAATATTATAAATTATTTCTCAAAATACTCTCTAAATTTGAATTAGTAAAAATTTTAACTAATTTGAATTAGTGACTCAGTTTTTGCTTTTGAATTAGTAAAATTTAACTAATTTAAATTTTTTTAAAAATGTACTATCGTAAAATATCATTCGTAATTAAAATATAATTCGTAAATTATAATTTAATTATAAATTTTAATTGATTGAAATTTAACTAATCAATAATAAAAAGAAATTAGTAATTAGTAATTATATCAAATTAGTAAAATTTAACTATGTAATTCAAAAACAAAAAGTGAATTAGTAAAAATGTTTACTAATTTAAATTAGTGACTCACTTTCAGCTTTCGAATTAGTTAAATTTTATTAATTGTTGTTAAAAGTTACTAATAATTAGTAACATTTTACTAATTCAGAAGCAAAAAGTGAGTCACTAATTCAAATTAGTAAACTTTTTTTACTAATTTTAGATTTAGAGAGAGACAATTTATTTTAAACTCAACATTTAAAGAAGAAATTACAATATATAATTATTTTAATAAAATTTAATAATTATAAAAATATAATTTAGGATATAACTAAAAATAAATTTAATAATTTATACTCTCTAAATTTAAATTAGTGAGAATTCGTTAACTAATTTAAATTAGTAAAAAATTTCACTAATTTAAATTAGTGAGAATTCGTTAACTAATTTAAATTAGTAAAAATTTTCACTAATTTAAATTAGTGAGAATTCGTTAACTAATTTAAATTAGTAAAAATTTTCACTAATTTTTAATAAAATATTATTATTTGATTTAGTAATATTTTGTTTATTAAAGTTTTAGTAAAAGATTGCTGCTAAAAATTATAGTGTAAATTTTTATTAAGTTTTAGTAAAATATTACTTTATTATTATTATTATTATTCGATATAGTAATATTATATATCTATTCTTTTACTAAAATTTTCGTGAAAATTGACTAAAAATTAGTAGAAATTTTGAATTTAGAGAGTACATATATTTCTTATTTAAAACCTTTCAGTAAAAAACTAACGTTTTTTTAGATAAATTAAATGAGTATGAAATTATATTATTTTCTCTCTAAATCTGAATTAGTAAAAATCTTTACTAATTTAAATTAGTGACTCACTTTTTGCTTTAGAATTAGTTAAATTTTACTAATAGTTAGTAAAAGTTACTAATAATTAGTAAAATTTTACTAATTCAGAAGCAAAAAGTGAGTCACTAATTCAAATTAGTAAACATTTTTACTAATTCAGATTTAGAGAGTTTTTGGGTTTTTTTTCTTTATTTTTTGTAAATATTTATATATATATAAAAAAATTTATTTATATTATTATTTTCTAATGACTGATGATAATGATGATAAAGATATTTAAAAGTTTTAGAAAATTATTATTATTATTATTATTATTATTATTATTATTATTATTATTATTATTATTATTATTATACGATGAAAATAACTTATTTATGGATTACAGTATTTCTATTATTATCGTATTATACTTATTAAATAAAAGTTATTATAGCTATTGAATATTCAGTTATTACACTTATATTTGCCTTTTTTCGATATGAAAAATTTTTATTTTACCTTTCGTTAATATTATCAAAATCCAATTTTTTTTTCACTGTAATTAATTAGAAAAAAACACATTTAATTTAATTTTTATTAATTATTTATTAATTAAAAATGCATTCGGTAATAAAAAAAATTGCATCGGCCGGGAATCGAACCCGGGCCGCCCGCGTGGCAGGCGAGCATTCTACCACTGAACCACCGATGCTTATGTAAAATCATCATATTCATTAGTTAGTAAATTTTAAGTTTTCTTAAATGTGCTATAACTAAATTATTTGTTTTTTTTACTGAAAGGAATTGTTTATAAAATTAACCATTCAGAATATAGAATATTTGTAATTTTTTCTTTGTAAAATTTTTAAAATTGACGATTTAAGAAAAAATTTATGCGGACCGACAGATCCTATAAAAGATTCTGTAGTAGGATGTAGTATCCTTAAAAATAAATTATTTTCCGATTATTTAAAAATCTGTATGAGTTGGATTCAAAGCTGTATAGTGGACCATTGAAGATAGATATACGCTAGTCTTTTCGTGCAAGAAGGAGATTTGTGCGCTTTTGTTGGTTGAGTTCATCGTTTCTTTGACGCTTCAGTTGCAGTTGAGATTCCTACTGATGGACCTTGTGGTGTATTAGATCCTCTCTGCCTGCCACTTTTTCCAAAGAAAACTTTTAGTTGTTTTTTTTTTACTTTCTAACCAAACTTGGCAAGGTTTTTCAGGAGGATTAAATAGATCTTCAAAGATGAATCCAAACTTTGTTCTTGATTTTCTATACTGATGTAGAAAATCTACATTTTAACTATAAACAAATTACTCAACATTCTAATCTGGAAGATGTGATGAAAATTCATTTGAATTATCGTGGATAAATGTCTTATTTTTAAAAAACGTTAACAATATAGCGAATGATCTTCTAAGTGCAGGATTAATATTAAAATCAAGTTAGGATCAATGTAGAATTCTGGTTAATTCATTTTGTTATGTATAACAGTTATGAAATCTATATGGAAGTAAAATCTTGTTAAATATTTCTTCAAAGTTTGTCTTTTCTGGTTTTCAAAAATCCTTTTTTTTAATTTTCTTAACATGAATATGATTAAGATATAGAATTAAAGTAGAAGCAATGTAGTTCACTAGCTTTTTATACAGCAGCCATGAAACCTATAGATATAAGATCTTGCTAAATCTTTCTTCGAAATTGTCTTTTTTGGTTTTCAAAACTCCATTTTTTCAAGATTTTCTTAATACTAAATACCGTTGAGATAGAATTGCAGTAAAATCAATGTAGTTCACTTTTATTTTTACACAGCAGCCAAGAAAACTTCGGATGTAGGCGCTAATTTTTTTTAATTATATAAAACGTTAATTAATTACGTTATTTTATTTTTTGTTTTCTATAACATTTTCTATATCAATAATATTCTTTTTTCTTTATTTAATCTTGAAAAGTTTGTAAGAAAAATATTTTGCATAAAAGGGAAAGAGAAAGTAAGAAAGAACATGGCATATGATGCAAACCACATAAAATAAAAACATTCATCAAGTTTTAGATTTGCTTTCATTTTTGATAGTCGATAGAAATGAGATGGACATTTCCTGTTTTTTACGATTATATTTATTTAATGTTCTTTTAATGATTTTAAGTGAAATATAATTTTATAGTGTCTGTCTGTCTGTCCGAAATTTGTTTAGTTTAAACAAAAGTTTTCGCAAAAAATCAATATAGCATCGTTATGAAATTAAATAATCTAGAATATTATTTGTCTTATCTTTAATTTATTTTGTTTCTATTTTATTTTCCCTATTTCATTTCAGCAAAGGGAACAAAGATGCAGTAAATGATGCCTAGTAAAGGAAAACCAATAAACTTCGATGATGTAATAAAGAAAGCAAAGTACAAACAGAAAAAGGAAAGAAGTGTAAAAATTTCATGGAAATGGAACTCTGTATGAAATTTAAAAATAATGGGTTGAAGTTACCTGTTATCTTGACTTGTTATGAATACAATGGAAAATACTATTTTTGAAAAAGAAATTTTTAAATAAAGAACTTGTTCTGAATGAAATAAAAAAAAACTGTTTTCTCTACAGAAAAAAATGGAATCAAAATCAGTTTTAAAAACATTTAATTTTTTTTAATTAATTATTTTCTCAGTGCTTATTTTTGTGAATGAAATGTTTTTAAAGAATATTTTCAACAAGATGCAATAACTGAAGAAATTAATAGAGAATTTTTAAACAATGGATGTTTATAAAATTGATCAATCACTTACTGCCAATTTGGGTAGTACTACAGCACCGGATACTCTCAGTCCAGAAGTGACTTTCAATACAGGAGGTGAATTTAATTTAAGTTTTTTTGATGGACCTGAAGAAAATAGTACACAAGGTTTTAGTGATCCAGGTTCTGTTGGTAGTGCAAGCGTTTCACCACCACCAGTGATTTCTGGTAGTACAGTTACATCGACCACCATAACATTACCAACTGCTCAATTACCATCAGGAATTGTCATCAAACAAGGTTGGTTTTTACTGATCTGTTGAAAATTTTCCTTACTTTATCACACACTAACTCTTATTCTTAACTCTTGGCTACGAAAATGATATATTTTTGTATTTAGATTTGAAAATTATTCAAGTTAAATGAATAAAATATTAAAAGATTATTTATTTATATTAACAATATAAATGTTTTATTTATAGAAACCTTAAAACATTTATAGTCTAAGGAAATATTTTTTTTTAAAGAATAAAGTAAAAGGAAGTGTGTTATTCGAATGTATGGAATTTGATTCTCTTTGGAATCATTGTAATTCAGTTTTGTAAATCAAAAGTAGGGTGTAAGTTAATGTAGAATCAAAAAAGATTAAATATTGGGTAAAATTAGAGTCAAAAAAAGGTTCAGGAAGGGTCGAAGTTGGTTTAATGCAGGTTAATATTAAAATAAAGCTATGATCAAAGTAGAATTCTGGTTAATTCTGTTCAGTCATAAAAATTATGGATGTAAGATTTTGTTAAATATTTCTTCAAAGTTTGTCTTTTCTGGTTTTCAAAAATCCTTTTTTTTTAATTTTCTTAACATTAATACGATTAAGATAGAATTAAAGTAGAAGCAATGTAGTTCACTATCTTTTTATACAGCAGCCATGAAACCTGTTGTAAATCTAAATTTTTCTTCAAAATTGTCTTTCCTGGTTTTCAAAACTTCTTTCTTTCAAAATTTTCTTAACATTAAATACCGTTAAGATAGAATGAAAGTAAAATCAATTTGTTTATTATGTTTTTACATAATAACCATGAAACCTATGGATATAAGATTTTGATACATTTTTTTGTCTTTTCTGGTTTTCAAAACTCCTTTTTCAAACAATTTTCTACGATTAAGATAGAATGTTGTATTTATAGAAACCTTAAAACATTTACAGTCAAAGGAAATATTTTTTTTTTAAAAAAGAAGTAAAAGGAAGTCTCTTAGAGGATCTTATTCGACTTTATGGAATTTGATCTTTAGGCGACTTATTTTCCTTTCTGAAAAGGTTAAAGAAGAAAATATAATAAACCAATAGTTAATTTATATTTAGAGAGCAAGTCTTGCAGCAACTTCCCGAAAAGTATATCGTGATCAGAACTAACACCATGATATATATGAAATTGAAGATAAATTACCAGCAGCTTGGAAAACGACTCTGTTATGGTTTGTAACTCTTACGAGCACGTGAACGCGCGTTATAAGTTGGTTACATGTATTGCATATATCGCCATTTCTCCAAGGCGCGCAGACTCTTCCGTGTTCGCGCAACCGCTTATGGCAAATATGCGTGATTCGTGATTGTATATGCAATACTCCCTAGATCCCCTGGTTATACTGCCTCCACCTTATGTAAGCTTATTGAGGTACTCACTTACGCTCTTTACATGTAGAAAGGTGAGTTGTTTCGTGCACTCCAAAGTACACCTTGGTCTTATTGTTTTATATAAGATACATCTCATATATTTACACAATTAATTATTGAAATAAATAAATTATTAAATACCAAAAAAAAAAAAATTTATCAATTCAAAATTGAATAAAAAAAAGGGATGCATCAATGTCTTAAATTAATTCCTTAGAATTTCATTGGACAAAATTTTTATATTTTGTTTAAATTATTTTTTGACCAAATTTCCGTTTAACTGATTTTCTACATTATAGAATTTTTATATAATCGAAAATTTATTTCACATAATTTCTATTTGATCGAATTTTTATTTGACAAAATTTCTGATTTTTCTTATTACAGAATTTATACATAACCAAAAAATCATTTATCAGAAAATTCTGTCAAATGAAAATTAGAAATGCTGTGAAATGAATTTTCGGTTAAGTAAAAAATTTTGTAATATAAAAAAATCGGTTATATGTAAATTCTGTCAAAATATAATTTGAACAAATATAAATTCAGTTAAAAAAAATTCTATCCAATGAAATTCTATCAAATAATAATAAAATTATAAATAAAAAATTATATTTATTTATTCAATTATACGAGTAATGCCGCCTTTCGTATTACGCAATTCTCTTATAAAAGTAATTAATTATTAATAAAATTTTGACTTTCTCCTTCAGTAATTAATAAAAAATAACTAATTTTCAGTGTAAAATAACAAAAAAATAGTAGCCCGTTTGCACCGTGTGGATAAATTTAATCTTCCGAGAGGTTAAAGGCAGTGGATCTATTCTGCGCCTGCGCATAAGCTATATACATTCTGCGCAGACGCAGAATATATCTACTGCCTTTAACCTCTCGGAAGATTAAATTTATCCACACCGTGAAAAAGGGCTCTTATTAATTTAGTTACCATTAGTTATTTGAACTTAACCTAAAAGTGAATTTAACTATTTATTTATTTTTAATTTAATTAATCAAATTAATTTAATTATTTAAATTTTATAATTTAAATGAATGGTATTGAAATGTCTATAAGTAATTTTTTTTCTTTTTGAATAAAATAATCATATTAATCCATAATTCTACAAAAAAATTTCGTTTTAATTATATTTATTAATTATCGATAAGTTGAAATTAATGTTATTCAAATTTGAATAATTAATTGATTCGTGTTGAATCTTCATTCAATCGAAATAATTATCCCAGTGTGCACGAGTAACATGCATGTAACAGTTCCATAACAATTCTATGAAAATGTCCGCTTATTCGTGTAACGTGTTACTGGTATATATAATTGTTACATAACATTCATGTACCAGTAACACGTTACACGAATAAGCGGACATTTTCATGGAATTGTTATGGAACTGTTACATGCATGTTACTCGTGCACACTGGGATTGATAATAATTAAATATCGATTTAATTAAATTAAATTAATTTTTCATTATTAAGTAATTGAATGAACTATTGTTAATAATCGAATTGCATACCGAGATCCAAATTTGAAAAATTATAATCGAACCACATTGATTTTGAATTTGAATTATTAATAATAAATTTCGTAACTGAATTAATTATATTATAAGAATTGCTCGGAATTGAATTATTTCTTCCTCCGTAGGGGAAGTATTTTATATTACTATATAGGTATAAACAATTATTATAAATCAGCTATTGATGATATTTATCAATAAAACGAATAATTAATTTATTTAAAATTATTATTATATCTTTAATCTTTAATTGATCAAAATAATTATTAATAATAATAAAAATCTGCGCATATTGAATTAATATCGTACTATTTTCGCTTATGAGTCAAATGAGTTATTCCTTTAATTAAAAAAATTGAATTGCACATTCGAATTCGAATAATTAATAAAACTAAATTTTTAAATTGATTTATTAATAACAATAATTATGCAATTGAATTAATTAATTAATTATAAATATTATATGTATTTGGAAATGTTGAATTACTACCGCAGTTCTCATTCGAATTAATTTTAATATAATTCGCGTTTATTTTTAAATACAATTACAATTATTAGAAAAATTAAATTTCTATTGACAAAATTACTTAATTTATATATTAAATAAATTTAATAAATAAATTTAGTAAATATTTAATCATTTATTTAATATAAATTTGTTTACAATTAAAAATTTAATTTCTAAATAGAATACTTTTTATTTAGATTAATTTAAACTGAAAATAAGAGTAATAATTAAAAAAAAATTAATTATAAAAAAGAGGATGCATTCTGCATGAAATGAAATCGAGTTTTGCTGGACTATGAGTGAGAGACACGTGTTCCAAAATAACCGACTAATAATGCATCACAGGACAAACTATTCTGGTATCCAAGACACTTAGATACTCTTTGGAATAATTTAAGTATTTGTCCCCATTTCCATACGTTTCTTGTTGGTTTAGTGCCATAATATATAAACTCTAATTATTATTCACACAAAATTAACATTTTTTTATATTTCCATTAAAATAGTGAATTGATTTTTTCAGTAATTTTTAATTGTCGCGTCATTTTAATATATTTTATTCATAAAACTTTAATTAGTGCAATTGTAAAAATTTTGTTTTAAAAATTAAATTATTGCATTGAATTTAATAAAATTCAATTTTATTAAATTTAATTAAATAAATACAATTTAAATAAATAAATAATATGTAATAGGTATTTAAAAAATAGAATTTCTGCTTATAACTATTAAGTGGGATGTGAAAAACAATTAACTATTTTTTTGGGTATTACATCTTTTTAATTAATAGACAGTGATATATTCACTTATGTCTTAGGTAAGAGTAAAAATGTACGTGCATCGTAATGCACAATTTGCCCGAGCATTCACCTTCGAATTACCGTTAACCGTACTCCGTACCATCGTACTTACATTCGCTTACGATTCAAACCGGATGAGTGAGAAATGAAATTTTACACTCATTTCAAATTTGTCTATACTTAGACATGATATATGTATATTATTATGTTCGACATTAATTTTATTAAACAAAAAAAATTTTCTCTCAATACTTACAAATTCAAAATATTCTCTAAAATTGAAAAATAATTTCGAATATTTGCAACTTTTTGTAAAAAATTCTTTTTCTACGAATTAAAGAAATTTAAAAAAAAATAAAATTCACACGTAACTAATTATTAGTTAAATTTACTTATTTTTTCAACTATTTCCAACGAAAATTAGTTATTACTTTTTACTAATAATTAGTTTTATTATTGTATTTTTTAAATTTTTATATTTTGAAAAATTTTCGCCTATTTTGTAAAATTATTTTATCAGTTTTATTAAGAAAAAAATATTATGCATTTTTGCAAAATAAAATGTTTCTTGCAATTTGAACATTTGTAATTCTTTTTTTAATAGGCTTACAATAAAGAAGGTGTTTTTTTTCTACAAAAGCTGTAGGTTTCAAAATAGGATGAAACAATTAGGAAAGATACAGTGCAAACGATTGGATTTATCTCATTCCATACACTGTATTTTTGTTAATTGTTTTCACCCCATCTTGAAACTTACTACTTTTGTAGAGGAAAAAAACTCCCTTCTTTCTAATGTGCCTATTAAAAAGAAATAATATAAATAATGTCCAAATTGTTAAAAACACTTTATTTTGCAAATTTTGTACATGCAAATTTTTTTTAAACCAATAAAAAATTCTGTAATTTAGAAAATCGGTTACATGGAATTTCTATGAAATGATAATTTCGAAGAAATCAAAATTCGGCTAGAAGTGAAATTAATTTTTTAAATAATTAAATAATAATAAAAAATTAATAATTAAATTCAATTAATTAAATTTTTAGACGAATTTATATTTGTTTGAATTATTTTTTGACAGAATTTCTATTAAACCGATTTTCTATATCATACAATTTTTATGAAACTGAATATTCATTTTGCAGAATTTTTATCTGTTTGAACTTTCAGAATTTGAACGAATATTTATTTAACAGAATTTCTATATGATTGAATTTTTTTATTTGTTCGAATTAACTTAGGTCGGAAAATTTTGAGCGCGAAACTTAAAATTAACCACTCAGAAATGTTTATTCGAAAAAATGAAAACTCTGTCAAATAGAAAGCAGAATCAATGTAGTCTACTATTTTTTATACAGTATAACCACGAAACCTGTTGTAAGATCTTGTTAAATCTTTCTTCAAATTTGTTTGTCTTTTCTGGTTTTCAAAAATCCTTTTTTCAATTTTCTTAACATTAATACGATTAAGATAGAATTAAATTAGAAGCAATGTAGTTCACTAGCTTTTTATACAGCAGCCATGAAACCTATAGATATAAGATCTTGCTAAATCTTTCTTCGAAATTGTCTTTTCTGGTTTTCAAAACTCCATTTTTTCAAAATTTTCTTAACACTAAATACTGTTAAGATAGAATGAAAGTAAAATCAATGTAGTTTACTTTATTTTTACACAGCATCCAAAAAAATAATTTAAACTATTTTAAATAAAATAAATAATTAAATTAAATCCTTCAAGAAGTTATAGGGAGTAGATATATTCTGCGTCTGCGCAGAAGCTGTATACAAACATTCTGCGCAGACGCAGAAAATCTAAAAAATATCTACTGCCTTCAACCTCTAGGAGGATTAAATTTATCAACACAGGGAAAATGGTTTCTAAGAAGTAATTGCTAAATTTCAACTATTAGGGTCCGTCCATAAATTACGTTACCTATTTTAGGGGGAAGGGGGGTCAAAAAGTCTACAAAATGCATTTAACGCAATGGTAATGAGGGTGGAAGGGGGTCTAAAAAGAATAAAAAATTGGTAACTTAGTTTATGGACGACCCCTTATCATCAGTAACACTTATATAAAATTGATCAAAAACTTTTATTACTCAATTATTTAATATTTTTGGTTAATTAAAATATTCAACATTGAAACAATCAAACAATCTGTATTATTTTCTTTCGGTCGCATTTAATGAGATTGAATATTTGTTAAGAATTGTAATAATTTATATATGAGGTATTTAAAGTTTTTGTCTTAGACTTTCACAAATTTTATCAAATGAAGGTATATATATATATACGTGTAGATCATGTACGTACAGAGAGTACAATGAGCATGTTTATTGATCGCGATTTAAGCTTGAGAACTTTCTATTTGCACCAGTGTGTGAGTCATAAAGGTCAACGGGGCTTATAATTTGCGACCACGTTATGGATATACAACCACGTGTATATAACAGCAAAATAATATAAGAGCAACAAGTAAATGGTGTTTGAGGACTAAAGTTGAAGCTGTATAAGAAAATCTTTAAAAAAATATCCTGAAAGAGAAACTGTTGGATTACATTATGTGGAACGCTTTCTAATGTATAGTTTATTCATATATATATATATATATATATATATCCTTGATATAAGCAGATCAAATCTTCACTTTCAATAAAGATCTTTAGAATATTTGATATATAGAATAAGAATAATAATTTTAATTCTTGTTTTTGATGACCATTACATTCTTGAATTACAGTAAGATTTTCACTACCGATAAATAGAATTAAGGAAATTATTGAAAAATAACCGCAAATAGTTTATATTAGACCTACTGAAAAATGTCACCATGAGATTCTATTTGTGCTTCAGTACAAAGTGAAGAAAACTATGTCGAAAATTATTAAGAATTATTAAGATTATTATAGATAATTATTAAGAAATTATTAAATATTACTATTCTTGTCTTAAAAAAGACATTTGTTTAAACAAAATTTTTTTTTCTACAGAACAACATTATGCAGCTGCTGATTCCAATAGTTCAACGCCTGCCAAAAGTTTCGTTCCATGTAAGGTCTGCGGTGATAAAGCAAGTGGATATCACTATGGCGTCACAAGTTGTGAGGGTTGTAAGGTGAGTTTGAAAATTTTATCTTTGTTATAATTTGAATACACTTTTCGATCATTGAAAATATATGATCAAAATCTGGCAACTCGCTTTTATAGAGGATTAATGGAAGATGATTCAAAAATCATTAAAAACCCCAACAGCCACGGACATTTCAGAATATCCTATGAACGTCCTATCCGTATCTGGAAATTTGAATATCTCTAGCATATACGTAGGATATCTTGAATATCCGGATGTTGTTAGGCAATTAATGCGAACTAATTAAAACTTTTCCCTAAGAACCCTTAGAAAAATCTAAATTAAAAGAGTCAAATACTACTTATATTAACGACAATATTATAACAATAGGAACAATACGTCTCGAATATGTAATTGCTTTCTAACAATCGATTTTTATTTTTCAGGGTTTTTTTAGACGAAGTATTCAAAAACAGATAGAGTACAGATGCTTAAGGGATGGAAAATGTTTGGTTATAAGGCTAAATCGAAATCGCTGCCAATATTGCAGGTTCAAGAAATGTCTAGCAGTTGGCATGTCTAGAGACTGTGAGTATTAACTTTCAATTTATTCATTTTTATAGAAGGAACCAAACAATATCTTTTAAATTTTTCCATCGACTCAGATTTCTTAATAATTGCGATATAAGATAAATATGGGAAACTTAAATGTTCATTGAACTTAGAATAAATATATTTGGGATTGGTTTGGCGAATTATTCAGCTGCATACTAAAGTTGAAATCTAGAGTTCGATATCTAAATTACAATTTTGATAAATACAATCCTACATAATTCATCTGATTATGTAACTTAACAACTGGATTTACACCACTGGGATATACAACTCTTATATATATCCTCCTGATGGTGACAAATCGACAAAGCATTCACCTAGAATTCGCCTTCTCGACAATTGAGGCTTCAAATCATAAAGGATATGCGCTCGAATTTGCATCATAAGTTTTGTTCCTTGAAGTTATATTAATGTTACGTCCGACAACGCAACATAATTAGTAAATTTTAATTTACTTTTGAGACTAGACTCATTGTCCACAACTCAGGAATCTTTCAAATTGGTTTCTTTTAAAAAGGGGTGAATTTAAAAATGCGCAAATTAATCGCACTACGTCCTTCGGAACTAGAAGTTTGAAAAGTGAATTGAAGAAAAGAAAGAGAATTGATAAATAATAAAATTACTTACTTGTTACAATTTTATTTATAATAATTGTGGGAAAAACTCGTTTAATAATGAACCTTGGACCCTTGGTATATAATAATGATATCTTGAACTGGAACTTGAAGATAAAATTGACAAATCACTGGAGAAATATTTATAAAATTAAATGATTTAAAAGAATGAACTTGGAACTTGAAAGAATTGGAAATAGAAGAATGAACTGAGAGAATTGAACTTGAAAACTTAAAAACTACTGACTTTTTCATTAGGGTCTTTAGTTTTTTATATTGCTATCCCTTCTTAATTTTTTAAAGACGGGTGTAAGTTTGGGGATGAATATTTTTAAAGTGTGAAATTAGAAAATATCAATGATTGGATTTATTAAAAACAAGAATAGAAAATCCTTATCGAAAGAAAAATGTGATTGGGTCTTTTAGGCCCAGCCTTTGCAAGGGATGACTTTGTGTGGGCGTATCTTAAAAGTATCTTTTAAAGTGTGAAATTAGAAAATATCAATGATTGGATTTATTAAAAACAAGAATAGAAAATCCTTATCGAAAGAAAAATGTGATTGGGTCTTTTAGGCCCAGCCTTTGCAAGGGATGACTTTGTGTGGGCGTATCTTAAGATTAGGGTGTCTAGAAAAAGTGGTGATCTAAAGTTAAAACTATTTTTAAAAGATGGAGCCAAGATTTATTTTTGAAACGAATTTTTAAAATTACACGAATTTTTAAAATTATTTAGAAAACACATATTTTTATAATTATTTAGTTAGTATTTATTTACTAACAGAAGAAAATCTGGGCAACAGAAACTCTTGGACCTGTCGTGAGAAAAAGAGAGGAAAAAACCCCAGTGGTCAACATCTGGAGGATGCACTCATAGACTTTTGTGTCGATTTTATGGTTATATTTTTTACATTTTATTGCTTACAAATGTTTTCGGTTTCTATGAATTTTCTAAATTTCGAAGTGCAACCTACAAGTATTTACCACTTAAGGTTTAGTATTTCATTATTGGTTCTACAAGAAAGAAAGAAATAATTTATACTAAAGATAGTATACCAGATACTAAAGATCTGGTTTTAGCGAAACAGATGTTTTTCCTTGTAGAATCAATAAGAAAAAAAATAAAAATTAAGCGAAAAATATAATGGGACGTTAAAATGTCAATTCCGGATTGATCTTGGATTAGTCTTTTTGCCCGAACTGATTGCTAGATAAATACAAAATTCATTAATAAAAGTTATGACACTGATCACTTACTTGAGTGTAAGAGATTTGAAATTATTTTCATTTGTTTCAGCGGTAAGATATGGTCGTGTTCCGAAGAGATCGCGAGATCGAACGACTGATGATGTAGGAGCAGTACCACCAACAACGATAACAACAGCAACAGCTACAACTACTACAACCACGACGACCTCACGTGTACATCAACTCGCATCCAGCATTAATTATAATTCAAACAATAATAATAATGACGATGATAATGATGACGATAATAATAGTAGCAATAATAATAATAGCAGCAGCAGTAGTAGCAGCAGTAGTACTAGTAATAACAATAACAATATCCAATGTCAGAATACTGTTTCCCGTGTACCGCCTCCTACTATCGTTGAAGCTGATCAATCGGACATCGATGAAAAGCAATTGACGATTTATGATGTTATTCTTCGAGTTTCACAAGCTTATCGTACTCATTGCGTCTACACGGAGGAGTCTATAAAAGATTTAGTTCAAAAGCCTATCATAATACCAGTGAGTATTATCACATAGAAAAAAATGAATTATTTTCTTTTTTAATTAACAAAATATTTCTAATTTTAGCCTTCAAGTCCAAAGGATCCTGAAGTTGCGTCATCAATGGCGGAAACAGTGGAATCACAAAGAATTTGGTTGTGTCAACAGTTTGCAAATAAAGTGAAATTATCGATTGAAAAAATTGTTGAATTTGCAAAACAAGTACCTGGTTTTTCTGATCTCCTACAAGACGATCAGTTAATTTTAATAAAATTGGGTTTCTTTGAAATATGGCTAAGTCATATTTCAAAAATGACCACCAACATCTCCATGACTTTTGAAGATGGTACTTACATTACTAAGCAGCAATTGGAATTGATATACGAGGTAAGTTTTAAGTCCACCCGTATAATATCTATATTTAAATTCAGTTTAGATATAAATCAGAAATGTGCAAATGGTTCCAAGTTTAGGTGCAATTCTAATTGGATTAAGTCGACTTGAATTAGTTTACGATTATCCATTAATATTTCTAGTTGCAAATCTTTTAATTATTTAAAGTAAAATCTTGATATTTAATTTGTGGTTCAGCTATTGATAACATTATAGCCTGTAAAAAAATAATTTCAGTTGCCTGAAATTGGGAAGTCATTTCTCGTTTTTTTTGGTGTAGGGTGAAACGTCTAAACTTTATAACATATAGACCATAACACTAGCATTTAAAGCACCGTGTTCCAGCTATGAAATCTTCAAATCTACAGGCAGACCAACCGATGTAAATTCGAGATCTATTGGTACTTCGGAGGGAGTTTCTCACTTCTAGAGTTACTTCTGCCACCCAGTTTGTGAGAGCTTCGTTTCTTTTTCCCATTTTTCCCACTTAAGTTTAAAGTTCGTCATAAATTCAGCTACGTTCAGGTTTGACTTTAAGTTGTCATTCTGTTCCAGAACGGTAGAAGCAACTTCGTATTCGTTCAACTCAGATGGAACGTCAAAGATGAGGATTCTCGGCTTCGCCGCTCCGGCTTTCTTGACATTGTACCCATCTGATTTTACCTGATCGTATGATATGATTTTGTCGAGGTCCTGGTCAGTGACCATTTCCAAGACAATTCCTTTTTCACGCATCATTCTAACCCCCTTGAACTTGAAGCTTTTCTCTGTTGGGTTCACCAGCTTAAGTACTCGCTTCTTTGTCTCTTTACCTGTCTCACCCTTTCGATATTCATGGGGCCCTTATGATAGCCACCTTGACAAGCTCTAGTGGTGCCTTCTGGGCAGGACCACTTTGTAACAGACTTAGTTTTCGCAAGTTTTCCGCTACTAACCGCACTTTCCTTAGATTTCGTCATCAGGGTTTGAGGAGAGTGCACCACAGTTTGTGGCGGCGTAGAATACATTTTTTCCAATTAGAATTTTTATTAATCAAAAATAATTAAATCAATCAATTAAAATTAATCAAAATGTCAATTTTATTAAGTGGAACCTTCTATTATAATTTCAACAATATACAATCATTCTCCGAGAGCATTCACACGCATACGAGCAAACAACTTACATTTATCTCCGTCGAATTACAATGATATCACCATGCCGGGGATTCACAATAGTATATCATCCAATTTGTCCGCTGATTAATCAAGAAGTCTTCCTGGTCCTCCCAGAATCGTTGAGTGTGGCTGCGACCAAATCTTCCTTCAGGGTACAATTCTAGACGTCCCTAGAGTTGCAATCACTCGACCTTGGCTCGTGCACTTTTCACCAACATGTAATTGTCACTCAGGGTTTTTGGTTGCACCAATTGGATTTTTTAGAATGGAGTTAAACAAACAGATTAAAATAAGCTACCATGGATTTAACTTTTATTAGAGACAGCACCAGCATAGGCTGACTGGTTTGCTCTCGCTCTGAGTCAGAACGAATCTAAGTTTGTTTTTGTAAGAGAACCTTTTCTCCTATTTTCCTTTCCGATTTCCCCTGACCTCACAAACAACACCCGATATAACACATTACAGGTTCCTTTTTCATGGACATTTTTGACTGTAACTTCTACAGTCCTTTACCTTTTTGTCTTTCGACTATCTTTCGACTATTTAAAGAAACTATGAACAAAATTATGATCTGGGGACTTTATTGTACATTTATCGAAATGTAAAAAATAATTATTATTAAATTTCATGGTGTTTTGCACTCTAAATCTGAGCCACTGATTTGAATTCAGTGAAATTTTCACTGATTCAGATTTAGAGTGTGCGGCGCTGCAGCCGATTTCCGTAAACTCGTTCTTAGTGGGAGGGATCTGCAGCCTCACCAACCGTTCCTGTAAATTTTGAAATATCATAATTATCAAAATTGTTTCTTATTCCTTATTACAGTAGCTAAAAAAAAGCGTCGGATTTTTTGGATATATTGATTTTTGGCCGAATGTCGTACTTCTAAATAATAATTTAATAATTTTCAAATTAGAAAAGAAAGAGCACACTGAAGTCAAAAAACAGAATTGAAAAATATTAATTGTTGAAAAAACTATAAAGATTTGAAATTTATCAGACGTTTTGCCCTACAATTTTTAAATGCCCGTAACAAAAAAATTTTTTTTTTTGCAAAACAAAAAAATATGTGTTTCTCTATTTGTCCTAAAAAACAAGAAAAATTGTATTAAACTTAATTTAGAATTTTCAACCAATTCGCCCTGTATGAATTTGAAATAAAATCAGACATATATTTTGATAGTAAATAATAATTTTGGACTATATTATAATTAATTTTTTTTTAAACAGCCCGATTTCGTGTCAGACGTATTGCAGTTTACTACATTATTAAATGCTCATAAGCTCACGGATGATGAATTAGGTTTATTTTCTGGTGCTATTCTTCTTAGTGAGAGACCTGAATTAAATGATTTGAAAGCAGTACAAAGGTCACAGGATCGTTTACTTGAAGCTTTTAATACACTAGTGTCAAGAAGTAATTCAGTAACTAATGAAATCAATGTTAATGGAATGAGTACAAGCAATCCTAGCATTTTACAAAGAATACCCGAACTCAGATCACTTGGTATTCGACATTCAAATCTTCTTGATTGGTATAAAAAAAATTGGACAAAACTCAAGTTACCAGGATTATTTGCTGAAATTTTTGACATTCCGAAATGTGAAGAGGATTTACAATAAAACAAAAAAAAGGTTATTATAAATATTTTTCAAAATACATTGAAAAACAAATTTTTCAAATAATCGGTTACTGGAATATTATCAAATAAATATTTATTTTTATTAAATAATTATTAATTCTGTTTTAAAATCAGAAATTATTAGTTCAAATTCAATTTATTTAATGCAAATAAAAATAATTTGTTTCAAGTAAATATTTATTTGATAATAGTCAAGTAACCGATTATTTGAATCAAATAACTTTCTTTTTAATTTAAAAGTTAAAAATATGTTATTTTACTTCATTATTATTACTTCCGTTAACGATAAACAAAAGTTGGAAGAGTAATAAATATAATTATAAAATAATAATGAAATAATATTTTTAGATTTCATCTACAAAAAATTGCTCAGTATGGTGAAAAAATGTTATGCGATGATAATCACTAGAAGTTATAGCAAGTGGAAGGAAAATACTTTAAAAGACATTACATTTAGTTCAATTTCTACAAAACGAAACTTTTGCGAAAATGTATATCGCGTAAGTAATTTTGCATTAATTAAATTTTTTCAGAGATTAATTAAATTTTGTTTTTCATAATCGAAACAATATATTTTCTCTAATTTTCTTTTTTTCAGGTATTTAGAAAATTTGAATTTTCGATCACATCAAATCCTAGTCGAAATCATTGGAAAAAAAGAAGAAAAATGAATTGTATCGAAGAAATTGTCATCTACATTGAGGTATTTTCACGTTTTACTTTCATAAAAGTGAAAGAACAAAAAACATTTTCACTATTTAACTATTGGAAGGATTTCCTGCCAACGGATTGGTGCGGGCCCTATATATTAGCAAAAAAATGTAATTTTCTACTCCATTATTCGATTCTTAAAAATCATATTTCAATGATGCAATATACATACAATTCCGTTACATCGAAAACAGGACAAAAAAAAATAATGTAGATTTCATATAAGAAATGTTAAAATTCCATGAGAATGAAAACTTCTTAAAAAGAAAGTTTTGTCAAAGGAAGTGAATTGTACTACATAAAAAAAGATGGTTGAGAATCTTGCCAAAATTGTTTAACAAGTCATTTAAAAAAGAAACAAAAAAAACTAAGATTATATACTACACAGCATATATTTATTGATAGCAAACAGAAATTAATAAAAAGTTGCGTAACACTAATGTTCAATGCTATTTTAAATATATATGGAAAGGTAACTCTATATATATAATGTTGGAGAAACATCTTAGGTGACTGAAACAAAAAATTGATAATTAGAAAAATTAAAAAATCACCACTTTTCAAGAAGCAATATTATAAAAAATATTTTGGCTTTTTAGATTTAAAGTTCAAAAATCATTTCTTAAAGGATTCACATTCTTTTTAAGAGAAGAATTTTTTCGATCGATTTTAAATTTTGTTTAAACTGATATTTTCAGAAAAAATATTTGATGAGGCTGTTATCACCGTGTGAATAAATTTAATCTTCCGAAAGGTTAAAGGCAGTTTATGGATTTATTTTAAAACTAGCAAACTGACCTCGTCTTGATGGGTTTACAGTTTTTCTATACCTTAAAGCATCATTAATAAGATCAATTATATTTGAATTTTCTACTGGTTTTCCATCTATAATAACTTTACCACGCAAGTCCCATTTTATACGTTTACGTATGCCGGGTCTACTGATACTTTCTAATAAAGATTTGGCTTTTAATTTAAAAGTTTTTGGTACAGTACCAAGGATTTCCTCATTACTCATTATTTTATCTTCATTAAAATTATCATCACCATCATCTTCCTCATTTTCATTAGTATCAATTTCTTTATCATTGCTATTATTTAATATTTTTTTAGATCTGAACGGTTTGCGTTTTAAATTAATAAAGAATAAATATTTTTGTAAAATTTGTTGCTACATTTTCCATTTTTCTCTTTCATCTATTAAAACTGGCGAATATAATATTTTATTCATTTCGCTGTCAAGGCGGCTCATAATATTTCCAGGTGTTTGTATTTTGGCATTTCCAATTTCATTACTATTATTAAAATTTTTATTGTTTCCATTATTTAATTGTAAAAAGTTAGACTGTTGTTGTTGTTCTTGTATTTTATGAACTTGTTCGCTGGGAATTAAAACCATTTTCTTTGCATGTTCCATATTAGAATTCAATGAGAAAAAACAAATGAGAGGTGAGATGAGTTTTCTTGCAATCCTTGTCTTCAAACGGTTGTTTCTATACTAATCATTACTTGAGAAGAGGTTAGAGATTATACTACCAATAATAGGTGCAAGTAAAAGCGGTAGAAATCCTCCACCTTTTTGAACAATGTAACGTTTCTTTTGTTTCCAACTTCCACTAAAATTTGCCAATTTTCTTAAATTTTTCCTGTGTTTTTTTAATTTACGTTTTTCACATTTTTTTAAAGAAATATTACCAGCCAAAACATTAAGAGCACATTTGCAAATACACTTGATTAGTTTATAATCCGCAGTGGATAAAATTGCTCGACGTTGATTGGAATTGAGATGATATAATGCATGCAAAACGGCAGCATTTTGTTTACTAATATGTTTACAAAGAACTCTATTCAACGCCATTATAATCGCACAACTGGTACTTGATCTATTGATGTACCTCTTTTTATATTTTTCTTTGGTACATAAACCTGAGGAAAACCATCTGTAGGAAAAATATCAATACGAAAACGATAATTATCAGGCGTTGATTGTTTTAAATCTAAAAGTAGATAACCATGAGGTTTGGCAGTTGCATCGTGATAGGCTTCTTGAAGAAAACGTGAATTTTAAAACAATATTTATGCAAAAAAATTTTATGAAATGCAATAAAGTTAAATATTTTCGATAAATATTGTTATTAAAATTTATTTTATTTAAATGAACAAAAATTTACGAAACAAAAAATATGTATCTTTGGGAATTTCTCAAGTTAATCTAAAATTACAACCTCAATCTCTTCTCGGGAAATAATTTTTTCACGCTCTCCTCAAACATAAGGCACATGGTCATTATTTTTAAAAATTCTTTCTTCTATTAAGAAAATTGATGTAATTATAAAAAGAAAATTTTTAATATTTTCTTTTACTATATAAAAATGTTGTTCTAATAATAAAATATTTAATTTTCATTTTTAGATTAAGTGTACGAAACTGAATTCGTTATATTTACTATTGAAGCGTTTATATATTTCTCCATGTCCCATTTTCGGAGAAGATGCACTAGTTCTTCATTCAACATTTTTGAATTATAATTAATATTTACATTTTTATATGTGCGTTATATTCTGCGTCTATTCAGAATGTTTCTATACAGCTTCTGCGCAGACGCAGAATATATTTACTGCCTTAAACCTATCGGAAGATTAAATTTATCCACACAGTGAAAACGGTCTCTATCTAGAAATCGTTTATTGCAAAATAATTTAAAAATTTTAATTTTTAAATAAAAAAGAATTATTTATCTCTTAAATATATTTAATTTATTATTTACTTTTAAATCTGCTAAAGATGAAAAAAAATTTCTTTTTAAATTTAATGTTTATTTAAAATTTATTTTATTATTTTAATTTTTATGTGCAATATAATAAAACTAAGAATTCTTATTTTAGTGATAAAATGCATTTTCTTAAATTGCACGCAGTAATGAAAATTCTTTATAAATACTATAGAAAAATGTTGTGAAAAAAATAAATATCTATAGAAAATTAATATATATATATAAATATATTGAAAATCTCAAATTTTCTCGTCTTGAAACCAACATTATGTAAATAGGTCTATTTATTAAATTTTAAGTGTAGTCCAAATATATAGAACTTGCAATATAAAAGTAAAATTGTAATTCTATTTTCTTAGAAGCAAGAAAATCTCAATTGAACTTCATAATACCATTCACAAATCTGTTTCTATTCACGTAATCAATTTTTATTATATCTAAACATATCTAAACATTAAGAACATGATTTCTCAAGTGTCACTGCTAAGAATAAAAGTTTTTTTTTACTAAAAATTAAAAAATATAAAAAAACATTTATTTACATTCTAATAGAATTAATAATGCAATTTTTCAAAGGAAACTGAAGAAAAAGAATTTTGTCAACAATTTTTTTCTTTTTATTTGAGAGATTTATACTTAAGATAACAGCTTATATATTTTTGAAAAAAAAATCTTTTTACAAAATGTGATTTAATGCAAATGAAAAACTTATATTCAAAACTATTCTGCATATTTTAAGGAGAATAAAAATAATTTTGTAATAAGCCACTATATATGAAGTGGAATTCCATATTTGTTTTCATTTTAATTAAATAAATGTTTTGGAATTGGGCAGCAAAATTCTAAACATAATTTATGGAATCGATATATCGATAATTAATAGTTCGATGTATCGAAAATCGATAGTTCAATATATCAATTTTTCGATATATCAATAATTGGAAACATCAATAGTTCGACATATCGAACGATCGATATATTAATAGTTAAGCATATCGATAGTTCTATATATCGATTCTTCGATATATTAATCATTGGATATATCGATAGTTGGATACATCAATAGTTCGATATATCGATAGTTGGATACAACAATAGTTCGATATATCGATAGTTGGATACAACAATAGTTCGACATATCGATAGTTATATACATCGAATGATCGACATATCGATAGTTGGACGCATCGATAGTTCGATACATCGTAAAATTGAAATATCGATACATCGATAGTTCAATATATCGAAAGATCGATATATATATATATATAGTCACATCGATTGTTCGATATATATCGATTATTCTTATTTTACTTCAATTTTTTTTTCTAAGCATAATTATGAAAATATACTGTTGCCAAGTTGTAGTATTTATATTGTAAAGTATTGCTTCCACAGATATCAATTTTCGATTTTTTGAAAATTGTAATTTCATCCTCTTCCACTACATTGACCAAATATAATGAACAAATAAACCTAATTCTCTTTTAATTTTTCTTTACATTTCTAATTTACTTTTCAATTTATTATAGAAAAAATAAGTTTAAATTAATTTGAATATTTTTAAAAATTGCAAATTGATAAAAAAAAATATTATTTTTGTTTCAATGACACTCGAAAAATAATGTTTTTCATTACCATCTGTATAATTAAATCTTTTAGAAAATGCCATTTGTAATAAGAAATCTCCATTTAAAAAAAAGATGTAGAATTTCATTTGCATATTCGAAAACTGTATAAATGCCATTGTGGAAAAGAATTCATTAAAAAAAAAAAAAAAAAAAAAATTCATACTGTTAGATGTAAAATGATGAAATCTACTTTAATAAATAATTCTTCCTGTGCTGCGAACTTCAATTGTACCGATGGTCATAAACTTCGTCAATTTATTATATAGAGAAGCATTTTGAAAATATGTGTGTGATAGCGTACAACATAATGTAAAAAATTTGATCAACGATAAAATATTTTTCGTTTTTATTTTACAATTGAATGATTTAAAACAGAAAAAAACTCAACTATACATTATTATTGATATAGAAATATGTCAAATATTACTTTTTAAAATGTCTGTAGAAATGATTTATATTTTTAAAGTAAATATTATTGAAACAATTTTTTTTTCTAAAGCTTTAAAAGCATACTTGCCAAAACTGAAACGCACGATATTTTTTTCTTTTTTTTTGCATTTCATTTTCCTTCTACAATGCTTTATGACAATTTTTTTTTACACATTAAGATGATATTTTATTTATAACGATATATTTTGGCGATAATTTAATGGATTAACATTCAATCAGTTTTTTTTCGTATTTAATTTAAATTGAAATTTTTACTTAATCAAAATTTAATTTTTTTAAAATTATTTTACTTTTTTATTATAATTTAATATATATTTTATAAATTATTAAATATATGAAATATAATAATAATAATAATAATAATTTTTATTATTATTATTATTATTATCGATAATAACTATTATTATTATTTATTTTCAGAATTTCTTTTTTTACATTTTTCTAAATTAACGGGTTTTAAAAAAAATTGGATTTCGAATTAAAAAAATTAAAAAGAAATTACGCTTCGTTGAACGAACGAAATGTTGAACAAAACTGATTGAAGGTTGTGATTTTCAATTTTTAAATAAGAAACAATTAAATTGTTACGGATACATAGTTTTCCCAACCGTTTGAAAAAAGAGAATTTTAATTAAATTGAGAAAAAAAAATTTTTTTAAATAAAAAACAAAAAAAAATTCTTTTTTATTGTGTTTTTAAAGGGCACTGAAACAAAAAATTGCTGCAAACATTATGTTATTAATATTCAATATTTTGTATTTATTTATTTTTATTTAAAACTTTTTTTTTTTACTTCTAAATAAATTTTTTACATTTTTTATTAAATATTTTTTCAAGTTAATTTCAAGAAAAAATCATTGCGAGTCATGGAGAATCGAACCCGGGTTCATTGTACACAAATTGAGAACGCTAACCACCTTACCACGATCTAAGTAATTTAAAACATAATGTTTTCTCTATTTTTGTTTAAAAAACTAATTTTAATTACAAAAATATTATAAAATAAATATTTTTTATCAAAATAAAACGGTTGAGGAAAAAAAAAAGATAAATATGAATTTTTTTTTCTTTAAAATTGAAAATAACCCCTTGCCAATGTGAAACAGAAATATCCGCCAATGTTTTTTTTTAATTTGCATAAAACTTTACACTTTAATAAATAACTTATAAGCGCTCACATCAAGTTGTGAATAAACATATCATATCAAACTAATATATTTAAAAAAAAAGAAGAAGAATATAAATATCGTTTTATCATAAGTGATTAAAATCTACTATGATTGAGATTAGAAAATTGTGCCGTGATTATTATAATCTATCAAAGTGGATTAGAAAAAAAAAGTGAAAAATAAGATATCCTTGATAAGATTTTAAGTAGAAAAATCAATTGTCACATAGTGTACTGATTCAGACGTGGGAGTGTCGAAATAGTTTCTTTTCATATATTGTATTTAGCATTAATGTTATTCCGAAACAATAATAATAATATTAATATTAATAATAATAATAATAATAATAATAATATATTCTCTAATTCGTAAAACGTAAAATAATATGACTGTTTTTATTTTATCACTTTCGATAAAATAATGTGTACAATTTTTAATTTAACTTTTAAAAAAACAGTGTTAGACACGTCTGATTCCGAATACTTTGCTCTAGAATAATGTTGTAAATATATATTAGGAAAAAAAAATATATATGCATTTAAATCAATTAGTGGAAATTGTTTATATATGGACTCACATGTTTTAATTAAAAAAAAAATATATATATATAGTTTTTAAAAATTGTTACACTTATGTTACATATATATATATAATATGTATTGTAATAAGTATACCAAAAACTATATTTTAATCTTTCGCCTTTTCTACGAATAAAAAAAAAATGATTTATAGGTGCCAAAATTTACATTATTTTAAGAGAAAAAAAAATAATGTGCTTATTAAGTAAAACGTGAATAATAGTACCTAATATTTTTCTATATAACATAATAAAAGAGTGAAATTTAGTTTTCTGGTGAATATTTAATATGTAATGTCAAGATGAATAGATATTTTCATAAGAAAATAATCTGTAGTTTAAATGTCATTGTTGATATTTTTTTTTGTTTTTTGATTTGAATTAAAAATTCAAATTTCATATCAAAAAGCAAAAATTTATTAACAATTTTGCAATTGCTTTTTATTTGATAAAAAGAAATACTTAAAATTTCAATTACTTTTAAATAAACTCCCAGATAGTCAGTAGTATATTAAAATATTTACCCTACAAACTTGTAACAATTGGTATTCAAATTTTTCTAAGTTCAAAAAAAACAAAAAAATTTTCAAAAATTAACTTTTTCTAAAAACAAAATAAACTAAAAAATTTTCTCCTTGGAAAGCAATTTTCAAATTTCAAAGAAATGGAAAATTTTTCTAAATTCTAAAAAGTAAAAAGTTTAAGTTAAAAAAGTCGAAAAAATTTTCTAAATACAAAAAAAAATTCTACTGAAATTTTTTGAATATACGGCACCAAAATTCGATTATCTGGGCTCATAAAAATATAAAAGGAACACTTTATAAAAGTTATGAGTATTTTAACGTGAGAAACTTTAAAAAAAAAAAACTTCCATGTATAAACAATTTTCAAATAAAATCACTCAATCAGTTCAGATGCACCGAGTTGTGTATAAAAACAAATGTATCATTTATGATCGACTTATTCTAAATTTCTAGTCTTCATTTCTCATTCGATCTATATAATAAATAATATATAAAATATAAAAAAAGTATATAAATCGTACAATGAAAACTAAACATCCTGCCGCTAATCTTGCATATTTTTTTTTAAAAAAAAGTATAAATTTCAAAATTTCATCACTGTCGAATGTTTGTAAAATAATTTCAGACAGTACAATAATTTTGTTAAAAGTTTTTTTTTTTGTGCCAGGTAAAAAAAGTGTACGCCTTGCTCATTAAAATTTTCTATACGAAAACTTTTTTAATTTTTTCGGAATTATTATAAAAAGAAGAATTTTATGAAAATTTTTGAAATAAAAATTATTGTATTATTTGAAAATAAAAAAAAATTAGAGGTGCAATATTAGAAACATTGATGTATCGAAGATATTTATAAAAAAAAATTCTTAACTTCATTCAATAATGTATAAAAAAAATTATTTCAAAATTACTGATAATTTTGAAAAATATTTTTTATAAAATTTTTATAAAATAATTATTTTTTAAAAGGATTCTTACTACCAGGCCTCGGATCGACTTTAAGGCCAGGTCCAAGTCGAGTCAGCTGTTCCTTTGAAGTTTCAATGGATCAGCTCACACGACTTGGACCTGGCCTTAAGGCAATTGCTATGTTAAAAATAAATTTTAATAATTCCTTAATAAGAATAATTCCATAAGAATTTATGAAGAAATTTTATGTAGATAATATTTCAAATTAAAAAAGATAATTAAAAAAAAAATAGAACTAAAACAAATTTTCATGAATTTAACAATTTTTAAGCAGAAAAATCTGAAAGTTAGTTTTAAAAAAATATTTTAAGTATTTATTGAAATTATTTAAGAATTTAAAATTTTGTCTAAGTTTGAAGTTGAAATGGTTAAAAATAATTGGCGAAGAATTTTAGATACATTTAAAAATAATTGAGTTTCGGAAGAGTAATTTAAGAAAATTAAAATTTTTTTTAAATAAATTAATTTTAAGAGATTTTAAATTGAAATTTTTGTAAAATTGAATTGCAGATTTTTTTTAAATTACCGACTAATTGAATATTTAAAAAATTTTAATTAAATAATTAAAAAATATTTTAAATAATTTAATTTTATAAGAATTTGGTTAAAATAATTGAAAATAATTAATTTAGCGAAGAATTTGAAAAGAAAATGTTTAAAATTATTGAATTTACAGGAGTACAGTCAAAAATATTTAGAATTTATCATTTTTTAGATTTTAAATCAAAAAATTTTGTAAATTGAATTTAAATTGTTTTAAAAGAATTTTAGGCAATCATTGAATTTCAGAGAATTTTTAATTGAAAAATATTTTAAATAATTCAATTCTCGAAGAATTTTAATTATTTAAAATAATTTCTCACAAACTCTTTTTAGATTCAAATTTTTTAAATAATTGAGTTTTGGAAGAGCAACAGTTTGTACTAAAAAAATTTAGGTTTTTTAATTTTAATTTAAAAAAATTAACTAATTTTTAAATTTATTTTGTAAAATAAGTCGAAAAAGCCGTACAATCCGAGGCCTGTTTCAATTGAATTCGATAAAAATTTAAAAATTTGTCCTCCATACTAAGTTTACCATTTTTAATTTTTATTATCCGATTTAAACTATGAAATTATCGAACCAAGTTTCATAAAAATTAAATTATTTAATTCTGAAATCAGAAGTTTTTCATTCTTTTCAGTAATTTAATAAAAGTCCATGTTTTTACACTACTGTTGCATCTCTAAAAAAAAATGAACTTTTAACAAATAAAAAAAAAATGTTTTGTTAATCGATTTCGAAACCGAAATATGTCGAACATTTCTGGCTTCCTATATATTTATTATTCTGTCTTAATATACATACATATATAGTTCTTTTTAATCCGTAAACATATAATTTTTAAATCACTCTGCAATGTTGACAAATCATCTTTTAGATATTGTATTCAAATTTATTATTTATGTTTTTGCTCAGATTTAGTGAAAAAGAAACTAATAGCAACCAGAAAAAAACAGCTTTCTGAATAAATCAAATTCAAGCGAATATTTCTTTAATTAAAACTTCCATCAGAACTCAAAAATGTTCCTAAAAAATGGCAAATCAGAAGGAGAGAAGAGTTGCGGTAAATTCTACTTTTTAAGAGCATGTCAAAGGTTACTTTATTAATTTTTTAATAATTGAATTCAATTTTTAATTGAAATAATCTCAATAATTTTTTTTCAAATCTATAACATAAAGTATTTTTTATCTGCTTTTATGATTTATTAAGTTTATTTGCTGCAGACTAAAAACTTAGACATGCTCTAACAAGTTTAGTGAGCAACAAAATGATAATTAGTAAGAAGGAAATAATTAAAAAGCAATAATTTTATTCACATAAAGAATTAAGAAAAAACTTTGTTATTTCAATAACTTGTAAAGGCAATTAATTACCTATTAATTTAGATTCACACGTTTTAATGCCATTTAATTTTCTCTTTCTTACTATAATTAAATCTAAATAAAATAGCTACGTATTTCACGTACTGTAACACTGCTTTTACTAAACAGAGTATAATAGGACAAATTCAATTTTTTTTTTCTTTAATTAAAGTATTAAAATTATTTAATTAAAAAAATGTATAACTTTTGAAAATGCCAAATAAGAAAAAAGAATTTTCATTTTATTTCTCATTGACAAAAAATTAAAAACAATATCGGTTCAGTAAATACAAAATCGTCATGATCATCCGTCCAAAAACAAATCTGTTTAGTAAAAGCCTTATCAATATATTTTTTTCCGCATTTATTAATACATGGACAATTATAAATAAAAATTGTCCAATTCTTTCATTGCTCGAACACAAAATAATATAGAAAATATATATAACAATTATTAATAATATAATTTTAAAAACTACAAATAGAAAAATGTTTCTAATACTATATAATAATAATGGTGCTATACTTCTTCATATTAATTTTTTAAAAATAAACTCTGAGATTCATAAATAAACAAAATTAATAAATTAGATTGTAATTTAATTTAATATTTTTCTACATCAAAAAATGAAAATAATCCGTGTTAAAAATTTTTCTACTTTTAAAGCAATTTTCTTTTTATCAAATTTTTTAGTTTGCAATATGTGACTTTTATTATTTTTGTTTTCTTTTGGAGGAATAAGCTTTGTAGTCCTTTTGTTTATAAAATTTTTAAAAGTGGTCGAAGCATATTTTCCTCTATATAGAAATATGTTATATGAGATACCATATTTTTTAATGTTATTTGTTATTCATCATTAATATTAAACAAACCCTTTTGCTGCGAGACCTAATAATTTAGCTAAAGAAATTTATTTTTAATATTTTTTGTTGTTTTATATAAAAACTTTGTTCAAACAAATGGTCTCATTTTCGGATAAGTTCTTCATTCAACATTCTTGAATAATAATTAATATTTACTTACTAATATATCACTACATTTAACAAAAATTTTCCACGATTAACTGTCCATGCCTTTTGACATGAAGTAAAACTGGTTTAATTTTTAAAAAATTTATTTTTTAATTTAATTTTTTAAAAAAACGACAATAACTCGTTATTCGTTGAATCCTTATCGGGATATTTAAAATACAGGGAGCACTTATTTTATTTTCATTATAAAATTCACTTGCAATAAAAAACACTATAGAAATATAAAAACAATAACTGATTGCTTAGTTTATATTTTGAAATAAAAAAAATTATGTCTATTATAATTAAGAATGTGTTTTTTTAAATAATTTAAATTATTTTAAACATCTGACACAGTTTTCACTTTAGAGGAATGATAATGTTTAGCGAATGTTTCTCCCACAAGAAGAGGAAAAATTAAGGTTGCTTCAGCATAAATCTAAAATCAAATTTAAGGTATGTTTAATAAAAAAATAAATTCACATTTTGTAAATTAATTACCTTTACTGGAGTAGCTTCTTTGCGAATTTTTCCCCAGGAAACAGCTTCGTCAGGTCGAGCACCACTATCACTGCCATCGAATTCAGAAGATGTGTTGATAAATACAGAATAATCAGCACCATTCCTCTAAAAATAATAATTTTAAAATTATATATATTTAATAGTTAAGTGAAAATTTCTCAGATGTAAAACATAATAAAAGCGTAAAAATAAATTTTTAAGATCATAATAATTGACACTATTTGAAAGCATAATTGCAAATTTTTTGAGAGCATAATTCCTCTTTGTGAAAAGCATAAAATTCCTGTTTCTAATTATATGTTAATACATAGAATAGAAAGTGAGAATTAAATAAATTTTTTTGAAAACTACGTTTGATGCTATAAATTCTGTAATGTATTGTCACTTTATATTCTGACTGTACTAATTGTATGCAATAACTTTAATTCATTTAATAGCAGTTCATTTTTTATAACATTACTTGTAAGTGAAATATGATATTTTTTGCAATACCTAAGTCAAATGTACTATCATTTAATGTTACATTTATAATTATACATAAACATTTATTTACCATTAGATTTGCATTACAAATATGATGTTTCACAACACCGCCTCCAATGATAATAATTCCAGTATTAACGGCTTTTACCGACATAGTATTCAATCGTCTTAAATCTGAAAATATTTTTCTAATTTAAGTGAATAAAATGTAAAAAAAAGGAGGAAGTGTAAATATATATTTACATGGATGCTCTTCTTATATAATTTTTAATTTTTATTGAAACGAATCCAACTACATGTTCAAATTGAAATTCTATTAAATATCTGTTAAATTAATGTTAAATTAATGTTAAAAAATTACAATTCTTCTAAATGAATATTTAGACAAAGTAGAAATAAATACCTGATAAAATATCGACAACTAATCCTGGATTTCGAAACGAATGAAAATACATCATATCACCAAGACTACCGTCAGTTAAAGCAGGGCTGAATATTGGAATTTTATTTTTAGCAGCCCAGTAACAAATTGATTCCGTATTATTTATGTCATTACCTAATTTTTCAATGATTTTAGATGGAGTCCACAGCATCCCCTTAAAACAACAATAACATCATGTAGGATAAAAAATAGTTTTTAAAAATAAAAAATTTATCATATGGGATAAAAAATAATTTTCAAAAATTAATTAAATATCATATATGATAAAAAATAGTTTTTAAAAATTAATTTCTACCTTTTCTTTTTGTTCCCTCAACATTTCGTCAAATTTAGGCATAACCCAATCTTCAAAAAGACAATAATTATTATTAGGAACTAATAAATTTCCAATACGATTAATTCCTTTATCTCTAAGGAATTTTCCATCTAATGAAAAATCTCCAATGTATGTTGGTGCTAAACATTTAATTAAATCTTCCTCGACACCGCCGGCTGTTGTTACAATACAATCAATCTAGATGCATTAAAATTTCCTAAAGAATTATTTTTACAAACTTTGACAAAAAAGTTTTCAATAATTTACATGGAAAAAAAAAATTAAAAAATTAAATAGATCCTACATACTAGTTTATGTTGAACTAAAAATCGTATTGTGTCACGAATTCCACATGACGCCATGTTTGATGTATATCCCAAGAAAATAGTACAAGAATGTTTTCTTTTAATAAATTCATCTTCTTCAAATGAATCTATTTGTTCTTTATCTAAACTGACATTTCGTGCTGTTAACATTTTTTTGATTTCTTCTACAGCTAAGCCAAAATTTGTTGCTTGAAATCCTGTTTGTGTGTAACTTTTTAATAGTGCATCGTAATTAACACCACTGTTCCAATCAAAACCTGAAATTTATGTAACGGTGTCTAACAGTTTTTGAAAAAACAATTTAAAGCCTTTTTAAGATTTCCAAGGTCTAAAATAGTTTTTTTCGAGATTCACATTTTAACGTAGTAACTCTTAATCCTTTTAAATCTAAATTTTTTTATGAGATGAAGAAATCATAATTTTTCAATACTTCTGTTATTTACATATTTTTCATTTAAAATTCTTCAAAAATTCAATTGTGTTAAAGATGAATTTTGAAAATTAGAAAATTAGTTTTTAACAATATCAATCAAAGATTGATATTTTCAAAAACTCTAAAAGATCTTGGTACTTTAACATACGTAGTGGATCCCCTCCTTACCTCACTATTATTCAGTGAGTTGGTTGAGATTCCATATTAATAGAACAATTGGTTTAGAAATATTTGAAAGAAAAGATTAAACAAATATTTAAATAGTTGTATATAAATATATATTGTATAAAAACCCAAATATTACAATAGTACAGTATTTTGTATTCAAATACAATTTTACGTATGAATGTAATGTAAGTGTAAGGATGTTGTGTGTGTAATTTGTTAAGAGTCTCTTGACTCTTTCGTATATTTACCTTTGGAATTCCTCAGAATTGTATCTTCCAATATACTCGACGTTACTCAATTCAAACGTTAAATCAATTCTCCAATTTATTATAGTTATTTAATATTCTCTTTATCTCAATCAATTATGACAAACAAATCTCAAAACTCAATAGAAAACATAAACTCAATTACTACTTATTTTCAATCTCAATTCAGAACTAAGTGATCTCAAAAAACTCATTTATATACTCTTTAATCAAACTCAAAATCAGATTCTCTTTATTCAAAAACTTCAATTATTAATTCTTTGTAAAACTCAATACTCTTAAATCAAATCACAATTCAATACTAAATACTCTTCTTGTCAAATAATCTCAACTCAAAAATAAATACTCTTTAAATAATCTCAACTCAAAATTCAGAATAAAACTCTAAATGGAAACAACCTCGAAAGTAGAGCTTTGTTTCAAAGAGTCTCTCAACTTAGAGACTCAAACTCGAAACTCTCAAAAACTCCAAGCTCCACATTGAGCTCTCTCTCTCTTCTCTCCCAAACAACAACTGACACTAAACAACCCTGGTCTAATTGTAAGGGGTTGTTCCACCTGTCTCACTCGGAGACCACACTTGGAAGACCTCGATCTTCGTGTGTCAACTGATTTTATTAAGTTGACTTTTGGTGGGGAAAAGTATATTTTATTTAACAAATTTATTGTTGTCAATGTTTTTATTGCAACCTTTGCAATATTAGGTAGTGTTCCAGTTCAGTTTGAATGGACATACCACGGATGCAGCAATCTTTATATTGTATCATCCTTTGTTTCTTGTATTAAATTAAATCACTTAGTTTCTCAATTTTCTCATGAAAGTTAAATAGGTCTTCCTTAAAATTTAGGTTATTAATTGAAAGTTAATATTTAATATATAATTATTTGAACAGCTCTAAGAAATTCTAAAGGCATTTCTTATAATGTTTATAAAGTGTTATTTGTTTTCTGTATTGCATAATGTGTCCTCTTTTTCAAGTATTGTATTAATGAATTATTAATAATGTTAATAATTTATTAATAATACGTTACGAAATTCATACGTAACAAATTGTATATTTACAAAAATTTTAATAACACTCTTTAAGAGAAGAGACCGGTGAAATTTTAACCTATCGAAATTTAGGCGGTTTAAGGTTATTTTCAGACAATATTGAGTATTTAAAAATATATATTATGAAAACGCTGTGTCTATTTAGTCCGCTAACGGGAGGAATAGTGTGTAGATTATTTAGCCCGCTAGCGGGAGAAATACAGGATTTTGGCTTTTTAGCCCGCTTATTTTAAAAAACCACCAAAATGAACATTATTTAGTTTGCAGTAAGTATATTTAAAATATTTTGTTATTTTTCTTATTTATTTATTCTAGAATAATAAAATGTATTTTATTATATAAATTGTATACACTCTAAATCTGAATCAGTGAAAATTTCACTGATTCAGATTTAGAGTGTATTAAGTGCAATTAAGAATGAGGTAATTGTTTATTAAAATATATTAATGTGATTTAATACAAAGTTTATTAGCTCCAAAATGAATTGTTTTGTTAAGGTTGTTTATTTTAGACTATTCGTTTAAACAAGGTGAGTATTGTCAACTGTCAAAAATTATTGTTATCCAAAATTTGTATTTCGTGAGTGTAGTCGTTTGTCAACCCTTGTGGTTACTACATTATTATAATAAGTTATCGTTAGTATTTGAATCATGAGTGAAATTTTTAAAAGTTTAGAAGGTACGTCAATTTTTAAATTATTATTTAATATTTTTAATGTTTTATTATTATTATTATTGTATTATTTAATTTTTTAATTAAAGTTGTTGTAAAAAAACAATTTTTTGTTTAAACGGGAATAATCTTTATAACGTTATGAAAATGTTACAAGAAGACTACAGTAAGTTCAATAACTTTAATTAAATTAATGAAGTATAAGAAATTTATTTTTTTAATTCTTTTTTAATTTTACAGATGAAAATTGCGAATATTTAGAACAGGATGAAGTATTTTAAGGTCTTTTTTCTTGTTACACCCGCCATGAAAAAAGATATGTTGCAGTATCCGGAATTTATTGGAATTGATGCAACATATAAGTTGCTAGATTTAAGATGTTCCGTATACCTAGTTGTTAACGAGGATGGTGAAGGTTTCACTAATTTCGTTGCAGCATGTATCATTGCATCCATGAAACGAACGAAACTTTGAAGTGGTTATTTAACTGCTTCAAAAAAGAACTGGATCTCTATATTAAAACAGTTATGGCAGATAAGGATATGTTGGAGCGGGATGTGATTCAGGAAAGTTTCCCAAACGCAAGAAGAATATATGTCTTTTTATGAAATATTTAAATCTCCAATACCGAAATCAGTACAAGATTACTTCGATTCAAATTGGCACAACATCAGGACAGAGTGGTCTATGTGTGGTGACTTTTTGATGAGAAGTTATTTAAATACAACAAATAACACTGTGCGACAGCCGAAAAACACTTTTTATCGGACCTACTAGAGGTTGTAGATAACAAAAAATAAGAAGAATGGTATTTTAAAAATTTCCCTAACACCCCCAAATTTTGATTTTAGAGCCAAAAAACCGTTTTCACGTATATTTATGACTAAAACCCTTGTAACTTTTTTATTTTTGCACCGATTAAAAAGTTTTTTTTCATTTTGAAGCAGGACAACAGGAGTTCTTTTGTTAAAAATAATATTTACAAGAGAAAAGTTACAAAAAAGTTTAGAAATTGTCAGTTTTCCCTCAATTTTTCAACTTTAACTGATCTTTACCGCATTAATTATGTTTTAAACATTTTTTTCTTCATGTAATATTCAAGCTTTAAGCTTTCAAGTTTTCTTTAAAAATTTACTGATGTATTGCAGTTTTTCTATTTGTCAGTTTTCCTTAATTTTTTATTCTTAATTGTTTCATGTAAAGTGTTTTTGAATCGTCCTCGTGACATTTAAGCGTCTAGCAATATTCGGAGATCATATTCACTGTGCTTTTCTCTTAGAAGTGTTTTTTATTGCTTATATATTTCTTGATGAAATTTTTCACTTTGATCATCACTTACTTGCCCAAGGTTTACAGAAAAGAGGTCCAAATGGAAGTGCAAAAAATGAATTTTTATATATGTTGCAATTTCATTTTTGAGGCTAGCTACGTTTTTTTATATGGAAAAATAATATTAATATTTACAGAAAAACTTATTTTTAGAAAGATCAAGATACAAAAAAATGATGAAAACTTTAAAAGCACTTTACATAAAACAATTAAGAATAAAAAATTAAGGAAAACTGACAAATACTTAAATTTGCTACTGGTCTTTGAAATAGAAAAATTGCAATAAATCAGTCAATTTTTAAAGAAAACTATTCAAATAGGGTTCGTTCGGCGCACAATTTAGTACGCTTCAATATTACATGAAGAAAAAAAATGTTTGAAACATAATTAATGCGGTAAACATCAGTTAAAGTTGAAAAATTGAGGAAAAACTAACAATTTCTAAATTTTTTGTAACTTTTCTCTTGTAAATATTATTTTAAAAAAAACTCATGTGGGTTGAGAAGCCCTGCTTTTTAGCTTAAAAATAAAAAAAACTTTTAAATCGGTGCAAAAATAAAAAAGTTACAAGGGTTTTAGTCATAAATATACGTGAAAACGGTTTTTTGGCTCTAAAATTAAAATTTGGGGGTGTTAGGGAAATTTTTAATATACCATTCTTTTTTAGTTTTTTGTTACCTACAACCTCTAATAGGTCCGATAAAAAGTGTTTTTCAATTTTTTTTGTAACACAGTGTAATAGAATTGAATTATTAAATAGTAAAATAAAAAGTATTGCAAAACGATTCAGTACAATGGATCAGTTTTTAATAGATTTTTTTATATTAATTTCGACCAGAGATACTGAAAAAGACATTAATTTCGGATACAAGTTTTTAAAAAATCACAGGAAAAGTTTTATTCTGATCTTTTAACTGCTTATTCGTTTAAGTATGTTAAGAATGAGTTGAACGATAAATTGATATACAACATAACAAAAATCAATGATGTTTTTGGAAGCATTAATATAATTTCACCACTATTTTTTTGGCATCATATTAATTAAACTAAATAACATTTCAGGCTGAGTGTTGCTGTAAGAAATTTTTTGCATTTAAGTTTAGATGATAAGAATTTATATGACCTGCGGTGGCATAAAACTTTTTATATTCAACATCATTTAATGAATAATCAAGTAACCATAGTATTAGAAGGTTCGGTTGATAAAACATCAGTAAATGGCTCCAGCAATATCGTCAAAACAATACCATTGACTCATGGCGTAAAGTTAAAAAAGGAAAATTAATTTTTCAAGAAATTAATAACTTCTTTTACAAATTTAATTATTTTTCACTAACAATTTTTTATAACATTTTTTTAATGATTCTGAACAATCAATAGTACGGATTTTAAAGAATTTCAAATTTTTCAAAAAATAAATTAAAAAATTTTTTTTTAATTGTCAAGTATTATTTCCAAAATTTTTTTATCATAGAATATGGTTTCAGGTATCAAAATTATGACGAAATTACGTTAGACAAAAAATTGGCGTAAATAGACAAAGGTTAAAATTTTACTGGTCCCTCTCCTTAAATAAAATTTAATTATTTTTAATCAAATTTTACAAAATTTCAATTAATAAAAATTTTGTTTTATCTAGATATCTTCGAAAATTTAATTATTTTCAAAACTGTAATTTTTCGTTAGAAAGTTAATTTTTTTTAGAAAAACTATTTTTTTCAGAAATTTGTATAAAGTTTTTTTATACATTCAAATAATTTTAAAATTTTCATTTAAAAATTATCTAAAATTTAATTATCAAAAATTTGTAAACAATTTTCAACAATTCAAATTAACCAAAACTTTCAATTTCAAATCTTCTAAAATTCAGTTATTTATAAATTTTTATCAAAAATTCTTTGACAAATAATTATTTTTAATAATTTTAATGTTTTACAAAAATTTAATTATTGTAGGAAATTTGTAAAAAAAATCTTCAGCAATTTAAATTTACAAAAAATCTCAATTTCAAATCTTCTGAAAGGGTGAAAATTACCCAACTGGGCCAACCTAAAACTGACTTTTCAAATTTAAAAAATTTTTTTTCATAATCTATTGCAGGAAGCCGAATTAAAAACATTCCTGAAATGCGTTTTTAAAAAAATTAATTTTTTAATTATTTATTAACAATTGAATATTTTTTTACCTTTCCACTAAATTTGCAATTACTCTGTTGCTTGTTAATGAAATTTAATAAAATTTGGTGAGTATATAGAAAAATTATGTGTCTTTGAAATGCAATAGAAATTTCGATTAACCTTTATTGTTAATGCAAAAAAAATTGTTTATTTATTAAACAAATGAATATTTAAACTATTTCTCATATGTTTGACTAGAATTATTGAATATCAAATTTTTTCTTTATTTTATTATTTAACAATCATATAACTTTTTATTACAACTGGTTTCTGAGAATTTTTTCAAAAAACGAATATTCATTGAATTATTTTGCAAGTAACAGAATTAGTTTCACTAGAGAAAATTTTACATTGGAATGTAAAATTTTCTCTAGTATACTAATTACTAATTTATACTAATACTACACTGAAAAAAAAATTTATTTGATTCAAATACTTTAAATTATTTGAAAAATATTTAATTGGTTCAAATACTCTTTATTTGGATCAAAAAAAATATGTATTTGATTCAAATAACTTGAATTATTTGAATCGCATTTATTTGAACCAAATAAATCGTATTTGGTTCAATTAAATAATTAATTGAATTGAATAGATGAATTTATTTAATACAAATAATGAGTTACTTGAAACTATTCATTCATTTATTTCACTCAAATATTTCGTTTATTTGATAAAAATAAAAAGTATTTGACACAATAAATTTATGTAATTGATTCAAATAAACTGAATTATTTAATACAAATAATTCATTATTTAATCCTAATACACTATTTTATCAAGACAAATAAAAAAATATTTCAATCAATTAAATATTCATTTGAAATGATAATAATGCGTTAGATTTAGAGCTGTGCAAGTTTTTAAAATTCGAACCGCTCCATAAGAATTAACATGGGCTCGAATCGAATATTCAATCCGAGCCCATACAAAATTCGAACTTTTGCACAGCTCTAGTTAGATTTATTTATTTCTCAAGTTTTGCGTTTCATCATTAATTCTATGTATGAATTAGTTGAAAAATGAAAATATGCGATCATAGTATGTAGAAATTACATATTTTTTAATTTGTTTATTTGAGTAGGAATTTAATTTAGAAATGGAAGAATGAGTAAATAAATATGTTATTAATTCCATTCAAATTTTGATTTATTTGCGAATCAAAAAATTCTTACATTTTATGTAAATAAATTATGTATTTGGATCAAATAAAATAATAATTGCCGCAATTAAAGAGGTTTTAGTTTAAATTAAAACAATTACTTACGACAAATAATCGAATATTTGATTCAAGAAAATTTTTAGTTGTTTTAAGAAAAATATTTTATTAATGCAAATAAATATTTATTTGAATCAAAAAACATACAATATTGAATAAAATAATTTTCATAATTCATTCAAATACTTATTTATTAGTTTGAATATTCCATTTATTTGATTTGAATACTTTGTATTTGATTCAAATAACTATTTATTTGATACGATGAAATAAAATACTTAGGTTTAGTAAATGTTTATTTGGTTCAAATACATATTTATTGGATAATAGACAAGTAAATGATGTATTTGGATCAAATACTTTTTATTTGATTCAAATAAATTTTTTTTCAGTGTAATTTGGCTAAATAAAAATTTGGTTTAGCGAAAATTTAATTAAATAAGAATTTGGTTAAATAAAAATTAGGCTTTAATAACAATTCTATTAAAAAAAATTCGGTTAAATAAAAATGTGGTTCTACGTTAAATTAATTTTCTAAAATTCAAATTTAGTACACATTGAGCGTCCAAATTAAAATCATTTCAATGAAATAACAAATTCATAAAATTAAATTTGTTCATATATTTATAAGAAATAAATTTTTTTTTTAAAATTATATATTAAATTATTATAAATTAATTATTAAAATTAATTTTATGAATTTGTTATTTCATCAAAAAAAATTTTAATTGAGACGCTCAATGTGTAATAAGTTTGAATTTTAGAAAATTAATTTAACGTAGAACCAAATTTTTCAATAGCAGAATTTTTATTTAACCGAATTGTTATATAATCGAATTTTTCTTAATAGAATTTTTTATTAAAGCCTAATTTTTATTTAACTAAATTCTTATTTAATTAAATGTTCGCTATACTAAATTTTTATTTAGCCAAATTAGTATTGGTATAAATTAGTATTACTAGAGAAAATTTTACATTGGAATGTAAAATTTTCTCTAGTGATACTAATTCTGTTACTTGCAAAATAATTCAATGAATATTCGTTTTTTGAAAAAATTCTCAGAGAACAGTTGTAATAAAAAGTTATATGATTGTTAAATAATAAAATAAAGAAAAAATTTGATATTCAATAACTCTAGTCAAACATGTGAGAAATAGTTTAAATATACATTTGTTTAATAAATAAACAATTTTTTTTGCATTAACAATAAAGGTTAATTGAAATTTCTATTGCATTTCAAAGACACATAATTTTTCTTTATACTCACCAAATTTCATTAAATTTCATTAACAAGCAACAGAGTAATTGCAAATTTAGTGGAAAGGTAACAAAATATTCAATTGTTAATAAATAATTAAAAAATTAATTTTTTTAAAAACGCATTTCAGGAATGTTTTTAATTCGGCTTCCTGCAATAGATTATGAAAAAAAATATTTTAAATTTGAAAAGTCAGTTTTAGGTGGCCCAGTTGGGTAATTTTCACCCGAAATGAAATTATTTCTAAAAATCTAAACTGTAAATCTGGAAAAAATTTAATTATTTTTATAAATAGGTTTCTTAATTATTAATTAAATAATTAATTTTATGAATTTGAATGAATTTTGTGGACAATAAAATTTTTTACATCACATTTAATTATTTAGATTTGAACTTTTTTGTTCATAAGTATTAATTTTAACCATCTATGTTAAACTTAGATTTTTATAATATTTTTCAAAATATAAACACCATTTTAGAAAAATTTTATAATTCGAGATTAATTTCGATCAGTTTAAATTATAATTTGAAAATTCTATTTTTGTTTACCTTTTACAACAGGTGTGGAGGAAGGAAGTGGATCACTTTCTAATAAAACAGCTTTTTTCAATTCATCTGATACTTTGTCAATGAAATTGTCCTTATTTTCTTTCATAGTTTCCAATGAATGAGATTTAGTAATTTGACTATCCATAATTATTCTAAATAAAATTAAATACAATATAAATATATATTTCATGAGATATCCTAACCTTCATAATATATCTGAATTTTTTGAAACCGTTTATAATTAATAAAATTATGTATAAAGGAGTATTTTTCTGATTCAACAGATGTTAATTAACATTGAAATGTTAGATAAATAATATGATTCCTTTAGAAAAATGAGAATAAATAAAAGTTGATACCTATGAAAACAAGAATTATCTGCTATTTAAAATACAATGACAGCCAAACAAGCCGCACATGTGCTTCTCGATCTACAGTCATGAACAGAATCGACTCATGATATTATCCCCAAGTCACTAGTTCGAATGTTAGTTACCGAGTCAGGGTTGGGAACATACCCAATGAATTTATAACACAGGGCAACAAGATTTACTTTCCAAGAATCAGACAATACTTTTCCGAAGGATTTCGACGTGCTGAATCCGAATCCGGCCTCAGAATTGACCATGCATATCAGATTTTCGAGATATTCTAACCTTAATGTGCAAAAAAAAACCCTTTTTTTTAACTGCATTTGAGGTCATACAGCTTCAAGAGATAATTTTTTTTCCAAAAGATCAATATTGCATCTGAAAGTGCTATTCTTCCCCTTTAAAACCCATTTTGAAAATTTTAAAAATCTTTGTTTGTCTCTGAGTAATCGTTCATTCAATTTTCTGAAGGCGTTTGGCGCTTGTATTATGGAGCGGTCACACCTCGCCTGCAGGAGCAGTTGACAATGGCAACCATGTAAGAGTAAGAGAGATGGAAAATCTTCTATCTCTCTTACTCTTACACGGTTGCCATGGGCAATTGCTCCTGCAGCCGAGGTGTGACCGCTCCATTACTCACCGATCACGAGGTCGTGTACCATTGAAGTAAAAGAGACAGACATATCTTTTGTCTTTTTTACTCCAATGGTACATGACGCAAGTATACTTGGGATCGGTGAGGTATACAAACGCCTTGAGTATGGTGAATTCTTCGATATTCCAAAACTAAATAGGAACAGATAAAACTTTGATAACAGAAAAGAATATAACTATAAACATCTAAATTTCAAATAGTTCTGCAAATTTTCGGTATAACTGAACACGAATTCGATGTCAGATTTTCAAAATTCAAAATGGCGGATCCAATATGATGATTTTTTTAAAAATCGATTGTATTTGCTTGTATATTTTGTTACTCGAGGGTTTTTAGGGTCGCTGAACACGAATTCGATGACATATTTTCAAAATTCATAATAGATTCAAGATGGCGGACGATTTTTTTAAATATCGAAGAATTCACTCAGAAAAAAGATATGTTTGAACCAAATGTACCATTTTTTTATATTTACCCAATTTTTTGGTTAGTTCAAACAAAATTTGTTTAATTCAAATAAATATTTATTTGATCTAAATAACTGTTTGGTTTATTTTAATAAATTTTTTGAACAAAGAAAAAATTAGGTTAAAGGACAACTATGACAATAAGAAAATAATTATTTTTTTGAAAAATTTTCATTTTTCAAATTAGCATTCGACAGAATTTCTTTTTATACAAATTTTTAATTAACACAATTTTTAGCTACCGAATTTTTATTTTACAGTTATTTAATTTTCATGACTTTTTATTTAAGGGAATTTTTAATTCAATCGAATTTTAATATAACAAAATTCTCATTCAATCGAATTTTATTTGATTCGAATTTTTATATTTTAAATTCCAATTCACTTAATTTCAAATTTGTCTGAATTTTTATTTGTCCAAAATTATAAATGACCAAACAATCAACAGAAAAAAAGATTTCGGCTCAATTTTTAAAAATTGACCAATTATAGAAATAATTTTCAATTTCTTACTAGTTATTATCAAGAAAATCGTGATTGGTCAATTTTAAAAATTGCGTCGAAATCTTTCTTTTTATCGATTTTGTTTGTTCGGTCATTTGTAATTTTGGTCAAATGAAAATTCGGCGCCTTAAAAAATTCTATTAATTTAAAATTCGGACAAGTTTGAAATTCGGTGAATTTGAATTTCTGTCAATTTAAAAATTCGATTGAATGAGAATTCTGTTTAAGAGCATTTGAACCTTCGTGACGTCAAAAATCATGGCGCATGACACGCAAACTTCTCAGGTATGTGAAAAGCACAATTTTGAATATTTTTTAAAAAAAACCTTTTGGAAAATGTTCAGAGAAACATAGACTATGTCTGTTATGTGCGAAAAATTCAAAATTTTGCGTATAAAACGTTTTTTAAACAATGTTTAAGTTAGGTCCGTTAACCTGGCTTGTCCACATTGTCCGATCTGGATAAAACCTATTTGAAAATTAAGGGCTAATTTAAGGCTAATTTAATGCCCTAATGCCGAATTTAATGCTCGGCATTTTCTTTAAAAAACTTGTGGACAAGCTAGCTTAACATTAAGGTGGCTTGTCCACACAATGAAGGAGCACTCGTAGGAAGGTCTACTAAAGGTCAAAATTTAGGGCTTTTTTAAGGCTCTTGAATGCTCTATTGTCGAATTTAATGCCGGCATTATTTCGCGAATTATTTGCAAAAATTCAATTTTTACGTTATCTCAGTTTGTCCACATCATGAAGGAACACTCGTAGAAAGGTCTACTATAGGTCAAAATTTAGGGCTTTTTTAAGGCTCTTGAATGCTCTATTGTCGAATTTAATGCCGGCATTATTTCGCGAATTATTTGCAAAAATTCAATTTTTACGTTATCTCAGTTTGTCCACATCATGAAGGAACACTCGTAGAAAGGTCTACTATAGGTCAAAATTTAGGGCTTTTTTAAGGCTCTTGAATGCTCTATTGTCGAATTTAATGCCGGCATTATTTCGCGAATTATTTGCAAAAATTCAATTTTTACGTTATCTCAGTTTGTCCACATCATGAAGGAACACTCGTAGAAAGGTCTACTATAGGTCAAAATTTAGGGCTTTTTTAAGGCTCTTGAATGCTCTATTGTCGAATTTAATGCCGGCATTATTTCGCGAATTATTTGCAAAAATTCAATTTTTACGTTATCTCAGTTTGTCCACATCATGAAGGAACACTCGTAGAAAGGTCTACTATAGGTCAAAATTTAGGGCTTTTTTAAGGCTCCGCAATGCTCTATTGCCGAATTTAATGCCGGCATTATTTCACGAATTATTTGCAAAATTATGTTTAACATTACAAAAGTTTGTCCAAAAAACGAAGGAATACTCCTAGGAAGGTCTACTATAGGTCAAAATTTAGGGCTTTTTTAAGGCTCCGCAATGCTCTATTGACGAATTAAATGCCGGCATAATTTCGCCAAATATTTGCAAAAATTCAATTTTTACTTGATATCAGTTTGTCCACACAATGAAGGAGCACTCATAGGAAGGTCTACTATAGGTCAAAATTTAGGGCTTTTTTAAGGCTCTTGAATGTTCTATTGTCGAATTTAATGCCGGCATTATTTAGCGAATGGGGGGGGGTACAACTGTTTTTCCAAAACGAAGGATTAGTCGTAGGAAGGTCTACTATAGGTCAAAATTTAGGGCTTTTTTAAGGCTCTCGAATGCTCTATTGTCGAATTTAATGCCGGCATTATTTCGCGAAATATTTGCAAAAATTCAACTTTTACTTGATAAGCTTGCCCATTTCTGCTGCTACTCAGCCACTAGTCAGACCCTAAATAGCGTCGCTCGTCTGAAAAGTCTAGCCAAAAAGGTTGTTAATCCTAGAAGTACCACTTCCACGAAAAAAGTTTTTATATATGCTAACATTTAGGGCTCAATTAGTGCTAATTTAGTACCTCATGCAAAAATTTAGGGCCCTTTACCTATTTAAAGTAACCCTTCGTACTGCTAGCTTGACGTCAAGCTGGATCTGAATTAGTAGTTTTCTACTAATGAAAGAGTGCGTATTCGTTTACCAATTGAATTAGTAACAGTTTTTACTAATTTTTAGTAAAAAAAACTACTAATTCATAGCGTAAATCGGCTTACTAATTTGAAATAGTAAAAAATACGACTTACTCCATAAATTAGTAGTTTTCTACTAGCAATTAGTAGTTTTTTTTACTACAAATTAGTCATAACTGTTACTAATTCAATTAGTAAACGAATACGCACTCTTTCATTAGTAGAAAACTACTAATTCAGATTTAGAGAGTAGGGTTCTCAACTAAGACTATTTAAATTTTTCAAAAACCACCCCTAAGTTCAAAAAAACATCTCCAATTATTAAAACTTGATTTAACCTAACAATAATCATATAGGACATAGGAGCTAAATTAGTGTTCTTCAATAGCACTAAATTGACTTTTTAAAAATGCACTCCCAAGCACCCCAACCATGTAACTGATAGAAAACCAAACACAAAACCTACCCTCAAATAATTCAAACTTAATATTTTCAAAAACAAGTACTTATATGAATTTAGGGCTAATTTAAGGCTCTTAAATAGAACTAAATTAAATGTTCGAAAATGATCCACTAACTTCAAAAACTACCCCTGGGTAGTTCTAACTCAATTTTTTCAAAAAACAAGTACTTAGAAATTAAGGTTAATATAAGGCTCTTAAATAGAACTAAATAAATGTTCAAAAGTGATCCACTAATTTTAAAAACTATACATGAGTATTTCAAACTCAATTTTTTCATGAAAAAGTACTTAGGAATTTAGGGATAATTTATGGCTCTTTACGAGCACCGAATTGGATATTCAAAAATGATCCACCAACTTCAAAAACCACCCCTGAGAAAATCAAAATCAATTTTTTCAAAATCAAGTAATTAGAAATTTAGGGCTAATTTAGGGTTCTTAAATAGCACTAAATTAGATGTTCAAAAATGATCCACCAATTTCAAAAACTACCCCTGAGTACTTCAAACTCAGTTTTTACAAAAAACAAGTACTTTGGAATATAGGGCTAATTTAAGGCTCATTATTATAGCACTAAATTGCATTTTCAAAAACGATCCACCAACTTCAAAAACTTCGCCTCAGTAGTTCAAAAATTTCTTTTACATTTTTTTATCGAAAATAACGATTTTTAATAAACAAATTAATTTTTTTAAACTGTGAAAGCTATTATTTTTACTTTTTTTTATTTTTACATACCTGAAAATAGTAAGAACATTTTGCAAAAAAAAATTTCGAGTAGTCATCCAAAAAGGGTAATCAGGTTATCAGTAAAACATTTTACAAAGTATTTTAGTAGTATTTCCATGTATGTAAATATAAAAAAAGTAAAACAACGGGTCTAAAATTAAAAAAAATAATTTGTTTATAAAAAAATCGTTATTTTCTATAAAAAAATTCAAAATTAAATTTTTGAACTAGTCGGGGGTAGTTTTTAGGATTGGTAGATCATTTTT